ATACTACTGATGAAGCCCTAATTTGAAACCAAGAAAATTAACATAAAACGCAGTCATGACAAAAATTAAAACTATATAAAAAAAGGAGAAAGTGATAAAATGGTAATTGAATTCATTAATTATTATGATTATTTGGATTAGGGTGGGGCAAGGCGGATAACTTCAGCTTTTTATTATTTTTTGTGGCTTTTAACCATCAAGCCGATTTATTTTTGACTAACTAACTAAATTTTCCCAAATTTTTGCGAAGCTTTTAGCCGTCCTACCCCACTCTCCCCGATTTATAATGTTATATATAATAATTATTTTTATTTATTATAAAAAAAGTTACTGATTAGTAACTATTTTTCTAACGATTAAAAAAATTGTTATTGATATTTATAAGATTTTCGAAAGCTCTGGCTTTAGGCTAAATCCATAGAATTATCCACAAAATAACAGTTTCAATAAATTAATTATTTAATTTTAATTTATAATAATTTAATTTAATTATTAAATAATTTTTTAAACGGTCCATTTTACCCCTGGTATTACGCAAAGGGCTAAAAATTTACAAATAACCAATTATAATTTAATTATATTATCAATTAATTAATTAATTATTAATTATTAATTATAATTAATTAATTATAATTATAATAACGAAAAAAAATTGGTTAATTTTTGAGGTGGGTCTCCTTGCTCCACAGGGGCCGCCTTGCCCCACCCACCCCTATATTGTATTATAGGCCATATCAAGGGCTACCATTTTTGTACTTATGCGTGTGTGAGCTTATTTGAAAGGCAATTTATACAGGGTGCAGGCACAAAATATTACCGTTTATTTGAGCAAGAGATTTCGAAAGCCAAATCAAGATAAAACAAATCGTCCATCATCAAAGATACCTGGTATCGCAAAACTGTAAAAAATAAAATAGAATTCCGAAGTTAATGTCTGAAAAATTATCATTTATAAAATGTGACACTTGTTTCGCCCACACGGGCGTCATCAGACCTATAAAAATAATTTTTAAAATAACATAAATCACAAATACTTTGGAGTTGTTGTCTTTGTATGTGCGTATTCTTAAGTTACGTAAGTTATTTTATTATTTGTCATATTTTATAAATAATAATTTTTGAGGCATCGACTCCCTGAGTTTTAATTTATACTTTCTAGTTTTGAAAGCAATCTTGTTGTCTCTCAGTAACTGCAGATCCCAGTGGTGCGCCTGTGGTATAGAAACGATAAGAAAAAATATTATTTTTTAATTTTCTGTCCATAAATAAAATATGAACTCGATGCGACAACGGTAACAATGATTGTTCTTCAATTTTTCTAATTGAAGGCTGACGGAACCTTTTGAAGCAAAAACCACATTTGTAAAAGTACAAGAAAAAAAATGTTTCTTGAAAATCTACCATCGTACCATCGTAATTTTTTTTTTAAATTTAAACGAGAAAGATCGGGACCGTAATAGTATAGTACGCAACAAGTGCGGTAAACGTCATTTGACTCACGAGTTTTTAATAAACGAGCGAGTTAAAAAGTTTACCGAACATGTTGCATACTATACTTTTTCTCACTTGTTTACCGCAATTGTTGCATAATATACCATTACCGTATCGAAAAAATCGTTGAAATTTTTTTCCGCTTAACGACATAAATATTAACCATTTGTAGTCTTAATTTTCTACAAAATTAATATTTGTTTTTGTTCGATCCTCGGTAGATGATAAAAAAAAGATGAGTCACTCGACCACATGTAATGTTTGGGTGCGAGAGGGTTGATGGTGGTTGAGTCAAGGTTGGGGGGGAAGGAGGGGGTGAGGGTTGAATGCGGGTTTGAGAGTTCGTAGGTTGGTGCTAAGGTAGGTGGCGGATCGAATGGATATTCCGCTAATATGAACCTTAAATTTACATGTAAAAACGGCCGAAATTGCTGTTGAACTATCACTATATATCTACTTCATAGGAATGAAAACTTCAAATCCCAGAATTAAATTAACAATTTCTTCCCCAGCTTTAGAAATGTCGACTTGATTATTAAGTATGTTGTTGCAACTGTCCTTCGAAGGACCTCTTTAAAAAGCGTTTTTGCTATTATTGGTTCAAGGATGCCCCGTATACATATTTTACTCCCACGCAGCAGCAAACCGATACGAAACTACGCCGTAAAATTAACGCAATTTATGGCGGTCAAGCCTTTTTCATTTCGCTGCGAGATTATCCGCATATAGCCTCTCCTTCGTAAACAACGATTTTATGTAAATAAGATAACAAAAGACTCGAACAACAGAAAACAGATCCGCGATATAAACGGAAAATTGGACGATTTATCGCCTTCCGTCTATCTGGTTTAGCTCGAGGAGGTTTAAAATTCCCCGGTTAAAATGTGTTGATATTAGATCGTTCTTTTAATTTGCCAACACGTTATGACGGACAGTGATTTTGATGTTTGAAAGCTGTTTGCTTATTAGTATATTTTTCGAGTCCTTTTTTCCAAAAAACGCCATATTTTGCTGTATCGCTTCATTTTTTTATAGTGCTCTATATCTAAAAAATGTTATTTTATTAATATACATACCTATGACATGAGTGTGTTTGTTCCATATTAAGCATGATTTTTAAATAAATTGATGTTTATCATATTAAATGTGATTTGGCAACACTGGATAATATTAGATTTCTCTGCAAAGCAACAGAGTTGGCGCAGAAGCGTCAATACAGGGTTGTAACGTGCTTATGCGCAGTTTGGTTATATTGTGTGTTTTGGTTAGAATGTGGAAAGAAGACATCGTGTGAACAATCCATATAACTTTTGTGATATCTGTGGTAGTTATGTCATAGTAAAGCAAAGACTATATATTCTTTTGTGAAAAATGTATACCACGCTTATTTTAGTGTAAAAATTGGCGACAAAGAGAAATCCTGAGCTCCTCATAATGTTTGTCCCGTTTGCGTTGAAACATCAAGAAAGTGTCAAAAAGATGGGAATAAATGTTTAAACACTGTGTTCATTTGGTATGGCGAGAGCCTAGGAATCACTGTGACGATTGTTGTTTTTGTTCGTGTAATGTTCAAGGATTCAACAGCAAAAATAAGAAACAAATTGAAACAATCTTGACTTTGCTAGTCGACCAGTTCCTTACGTCATATCGTCAGAATCAGAGCAATCTAATTCCGACCCAGATGATTCAGATTTCACACCAGATTTTACAGAGCCCGAAATGTTTAACCAGAACAAATTAAATGATTTAATGGAGATGTGCACCTTACAAAGGATGCACCCGAATTGATAGCGTCCAGACTTCCTGTCAAGCATTTTACTGGAGTCTACCGTACTATCAATGTTTTACCTGGAAAAGAATTTTATCAATATTTTCCCAGAAAGGACTAGTGTATTGGAATATTAAAATAATATTCCTGACTTAATTTGAAAATGAGGAAGTGTTTATTGAGTCAAGTAAGCGTAGTTTTGCACAATGGTAACGAAATGGCCTCGGTTCCAATTGCACATTCGGTACATTTAAAAGAAACATCAGTGGATGCTTTGTGGTGACCTTAAAGTGCAGTGCATGCTCCTAGATCAACAGGGGGTCATACAAAATTTCCATACTTTATTTGTGAGTGGGATAGTCGGACAAGAGAGGGACATTGGACTCAAATAGAATGGCCCTCTAGAACAAGCCTTACACCTGGTAGCAAAAATGCTTAGTTGACCACACTAAAGTTTTATTGCCTCGTCTTCCTATCAACTTTGGCTTGTTAAAACCCTAGACAAAAATAGACAGTGTTTCCAATACTTGTGCGAGAAATTTCCAGCCATATCTGGTGCCGAGATGGAAGAAGGTGTTTTTGTTGGGCTGCAGAGAAGAACATTATGCAAAGACAAGCATTTTCAAAACAAAATCACCAAGGTCGAGAAATACGTGTTGGTTTCATTTAAAGATGTTATATGTTACAACACTTTCATCGTCTAGGTTGTAATATGGGTTTGAAACTGCATTTCCTGTTTTCATACTTGAGCTATTGTCCTGAAAATCTTGGAGAAGTTAGCGAAGAACAGGAAGAGAGGTGTCACCAAGTTTTTTTTTCACTTTTCTTAACTAACAGTTTTTTTTACTGAATAATAAAAAATTATTATTTTAGAAATATTGTTTTTTTTTTTCTTTAATATTTGCAAAAAACCTTATGTAATAGAAATAAATGTTTAGAATTTGTGAAATCAGCCTACCAAATTTATGTAAAATAAGTTTTCAGAATATAAACTCTGTCAAAAAGTTTAATTTTGTAGATCTGTGTTATTAAAGAAGTTGCAGATGAACTTTTTTAAAGTTTTTTCGAAACAAGAATACCAAAACACGCATTTCGATTTGATTTGAATGATTCATTTTTGAGTCGCACCAAAATGGCCGCATCTCGTCAACTGAAATGGACGAACATGGAGAGTCGAAAAAAATAATATAAATAATAAAATAGTTATTTTTATGAGTTTCTTCGGGTTAAGTGTAATAATAGCATTTCATCAGCTTGATGAAGCGTAATTATTTTCTCGTTTTTGGTTGTGTGCATAATTTTCGATATTGGCCTAGAATGGCCACAATACCTACACATTTTTACGTTAATTTCCTTTATTAAGCTTTTAATTAAATCTACCAATTTTTTAAATTTTTAAATGACTTTCTGCCCGAAGAAGTTTGGTTTTCGTTAGTGTTTCTTCAACAAACGGCACTTTTATTAATTACTCACCCATTATTGTACTTCCATTTCCAATTTTCCTCTTAATTTTAGTCCTAACAACTGTACAGGGTTTCCGGAAATAACTTTCGAATAATTTAAGTGATGATTCCTCATGAAAAAATAAGAAAATGAGTAATGATAAGCAAACTTATAAAAAGTCCTTTTAATAAATATCTTAAATATCCCTTGACCGATTTTCCGTCGTTTCTTATTTCTGTTATTGCCTCAATACTAATCATCTTATTATATTCATTTATACATTGCATTTTTGTTTCAGCAAATCTGTGGCAAGATGGCTGCACTTGTCGGAAGACGAGGCCGCCGAAGATAGGAGACATACCAAGGTAATGAGAATAAAAATTTTAGCTACCATCAATAACCTAACTTTGCCAAGCTTAACCAAGGCTCTAAATTATTTTTTTAAAACATGTCTGGTTCATAAATCTGTGTGCACTACTCGTCAAGGAGAGGCACATAAATTGGCAACTCTGGTGGTTCTTTTTGGCTTGGCAACATTGCCCAGCAAGCTAGAAAGGTCATAACCAGAAGTCGCAGAACATTTATATTTTACAGACCATGTATATGCTATGATAAACTAGATATCGGAGAGACAGTAATCGGAGTTTTTTTCGATTTATCGCGCGCCTTTGACTCCTTAAACTTCAGTATAATGGCAAAAAAGCTGGAATGCTTGGGCATCAGGGGGCCTATCAATGATTGGATCGTATCGTATATGAACCATAGGAAAATAAGTGTCAAAATAAATGGAACGTACTCAGACCTTTATAGCGTCAGCCTGGGCACGCCTCAAGGGGCAACTTTGGGTCCATTATTGCTTCTTTTATATGTGAACGATTTGCCGGAATTTCTCAACAGCGACTGTCGTGTCTTTATGTACGCGGACGATACGTCCGTCTTTGTCTCTGGAAGAGATGCAGAAATGTTGATGCACGATGTATCTCTTGTTGTCTCACAGTTTAATAACTTCTGTAGGCAAAATCATTTGATCGTGAATGTGGAAAAGACAGTCGTGGTTGAGTTTACTGGTCAGTACATTAAACCTTTAGCTGGCTTATCGATCAGTTTTGCTGGTTCGCCATTGGAAATAAATCAGACCACCAAGTTTCTTGGTTCTTATATTGATAGCTCCTTTAGATGGGACCGGGACATTGACAATGTCTGCAATAAACTAAATAAAACCTTTTTCGCAATATTAACAGTTAGAGATTCATTTCTTGAGAAGGCACTAATAGCTTTTTACCACGCGTCAGCTTACTCTTCCATTTCACACAATATTGTCAACTGGGGACAAGCGAATGATGCTGAGAGAGTGTTTATACAGCAAAAAAGAATACTTAGGCTGATTTTTAAACTTCCTCCGAGGCAATCATGCAAAGAGACATTTCAACAGCACAAAATATTAACAATGCCTTGTATATACCTATTTAAAATACTTTTGATCACACATAAAAATAAATAATACCTGAGAGCATCGTAAATAACGTTAAAAGTTTACCGAGATTTTTCTAATGTATACTCTCTTTTATTTTAAATTACATTAACTTGTTTGTCATATTTGTTTTATAAATATATACTCGTATTCGTTCTATACATTACTTAAGATTATGATATACATTGTTTTTACAATGAAACTTGTAATTTATTATTTGTATTTATTGACGAAACATCCATTGTACCACCTGGTTTTGTGAATAAATAATCTATCTATCTATCTATCTATCTATCTATCTATCTATGGAAGGTATTCATAATTCATTATTTTTATTTATCTCGATATTATCGCTCGCATGGTTGCGAGGGAGTATCCTGTTGAGGTCATTTGCCACCTAAGCAAAGCTTCGATTGCCTATACCACTTTTGGATGGTTAAGATAGGAGTGCTCCAAGTTTCTGTGCTCGGTACTTTTTTCTTTATTATCTACGTTAATAGTATTTTTGAATGTTTTAACCCCGATTGTGTGGCTGTAGATGCCAAAATAAATTCAAATTTTGATGAACAGTTAAAATAGTACAGATTACCACAAAACTACAACAAATTGTTTCCAAAGTTCCTTGGAATTACAGTAGAATAAAATTTAAATTGGAAAAGTCACGGTGACAATTTTATCTTAAAAAATTAACTCATCGTGTTTACATTTTCGAAATTAAAGATAAATTCTACAATGGTATGTGCCCAGAGGTATGGGGTTTGGTTTCTCTTCAGCAGAAGGTGTGTCTTCGTTCCGGGTATTCTTATTCTCGAACTTAGATTTTTTTAAACACAAACCCTCTTATATTAAATGGTGAAACAAATAATCAGAATACCCGGAATTAATCAATAGGAATCAATTTTTTTAAAGAATCGAGACACGCTCAGAACTTTAGGAATGAAACTAAATCAGTTTGTAATAAATGGCTGTTTTTATATGATTGCCAAATATGTTAATTTCTCTAAAATATCCTTTGCCTGAGTGAAATGTCGTTTACTTGTCGTTTTACCTTATTCGCTATGTGTTGTATGGTATCTTATCCTTTTGTTTCTTTGACAGGAATAAAAGTAATTTTTTGTGACATGCAGTGAATTTTAGATGATTTTAAAAGCACCGTATTTTTCTAACTAACCAAAAGCTCCTCATTGACGTAATATTTTTGGCTTTTAACTTTCAATTCCTCGTGTGTTTACATCTACTGTTGCTTACACGCTGTATAAACGATCCATGTCGTCTAAAATAAATCGGTTTTGCCTTTTTGATAAGTTATTTACGTGTATGTTAAAATAATCGATGGGTCTACCGTCTCTTTGTTCTGCTGACGTCAAACGAACCGAAGCAATAACAACAATATATCTGACATCGTGTAAAAATTGATCTCGTACAGCCAATTTACAATTGATTGTCACGTTATCTGCGAAAGATCAAAGATTAACGAGCTGCTGTTGTATTTCACGCTCGTAATGGACCTGACAAAGTATCTCGTTTGCGTTGTTGCTTTAATATGAAGGAGGCGCAGGCGATTGATGGCTTTATATGTTCTAGATTTACAGCTAGACGATATGCGAAATTACCGAAGACAGGACTTTGGAACTGATTTTTAATAAAATCTTCTTCTTCTTGTTTATTGGTGAAAATGTCTAGTTGAGTTTTTTCACTCAAATGCAGTTTTTTTCCAAAATTTTCCGTTTTCATCCAACTTTCCTGTTTTATGAGGCATAGCTTTGGCTCAGTCTTAATAAAATACGGTTGTTGGCCGTTTACAGTCATGTATGTTGTATGGGTGTATCTGTCATATGATATCATCTTATCATAAATGTACGAATTTATGATTATGTTATTTCTAATCATATCGTCACTAACAGTCAATCTGGATTTCGTAAAGGTTTTAGTACTAAAAAATCTACTTTTACACATCAACGATTACATTATTAGTTCTTTAGATAATATATTACTCTAAAGCCTTTGATCGGCTTGAATAAACTAATGTGTACATATACTATGGCTTCGATGATGTTTCGACTCGATTTTTTGAAAACTACTTAGCTAACAGATATCAGAGAGTTAGCCTTCACAATGTACGTCCTGAATTTCTCCCTGTGTCATATATTATTCTTATATTTATATTTCTGATATTTATACATCCATCGAATGTATGAATTTGCATTCATTTGCTGATGACACTCAGCTATTTTACTCCTTCGATCCTAAATTATTTGATATTGCTTCAATTTATATCAATTTGGCTTTGCATAACTTATTTCTATATTCTTCTAGGCATAATCTTCAACTTAATGCTAAAAAATGCAGGGTAATGTTGCTTTCTCCTAAACCTAACATTGAACAAGTATCCCAAATATATTTATTAATTAACGGTTAACATTTAAAAATTGTGAATTGTAATAAAAAAATGTAAAAACAAATAAGAACTAAAAGTTCAGATTTTCACGAAATTAGATATTTTGACATGACAATTGTTTCGACAACACCGTGTCTTTATCAAATGTAATATTTACAAACTACCTGCTACTATATATACCGAAAAATGACCATAAAACCTTAATTAATTTTGATGCGAGAATTTAAGTTCAATAAAGGAAAGGTATCTAAATCTAATTGATCGTTAAGCAATACATTTGAATGTCTCATTTTGCAAATTATTCTTAAACTCAATCTTTGGATATTATTGCTTATGTTTTAACAGAGTATTTGGGGAGAATCCTCAGAAAGAAAAACATTTTTTAAAGAATATTTCAAAAGTTATGAAAAAAAAGTAAATGCTGGGTCACTTTTGATTTTGGTTTTGATTTTGAAATACTGATATGAACCCTGTCTAAAACAACTTACTATTTAGTACTGTTTCCATTTTGGTACCATCTTGGCCTACAAACACTACTACTGAATTTTCCCACTAAACAGAAAATGGCCGGAATAGCACTTACGCCCATTCAAAAATAATCGATTCAAATAGGCTTTTACCTGTGAAAATATTCCAGTAGATCGACTAGAACGAACTAACTTCGTTGCCTTTTATTGAGATTGTACTTCGTTCGTTTTTTATTTTGCTTCATAGTGTAGTGTTGAGGCATTTTATCCTGACGGCCGCATTTTCACTCCCGAAATAAAAGGGATATCGATCCCAGGTCGAGGTGAAAACTCGTTCTAATCCAACGGGGCGTCACGTTAAAAAAATGATGTAAAATAACTAGCGCCGTTTTCAAATTAATAACCGTGTTTAAAATGTGTAGTATATCTATCATATTATAACATTTCATTTTATCTATCGCCTTCGCGTTTGACTACACACCAGAGAAAAATGGTTGAAAATGAATTTATTGATAGAGTTCTTAAGTTAGAATCAAAAACAAACTAAACCGAAAAATCAATCCTTACAATAACTTACAATAGCTTACAATAACGAAAAGAAAATCCTCTATAAAAAATTGTATATAAATTATTACTGGCGCTGTATTAATATACACACTAAAAAAAAAAAACCTGAATTGTTGCAGACGCATAAGACTCAAAAAATTAAATTTTTATAGACTATTAGACTTTTTATAAAATATTAATATAGATTATTATAGAAAATTAAATTAAATTAGTAGCTTTGTAGGATCGGCATGGAATAATAAAACTCAATTAATACTCAAGCAGCTTCTTGTTAAAAAAACATCTTATGCACTGACTCAATTTTTTTGCAAAGACCTCTAGGTTTGTGAGGTTTGACCTTATAAAAGCTCTGTGTGATGTCTTTTTACCTAAAGTTTATGTTCGTTTTTTTACGTCGGTTTGTATTGCACATTACAATGTAATATCTGTATCTACCACTGTGAATGACGGTTGAGTTACATTTATCTCTTCTTCACCCTGGAAACGAATGTTATTTGTCCTTCCGACTAAATTATATGCAATAAGCCGCATTCCCAATTCTTGATTTAAACTTTATTTAATTTCTTAAATAAAACTTGGTTCTTCATTCCAAAAGTGCCTGTTGGAGGTAATATTGGTTCTACTAATCAATACTTCTTATCAACCTGATATTAAAATCGCTATTTGACTTTGGACTTCTCCATCAATTTTTCAAAGAAACTTCCACACTTTGTATCAGCTTATATTTCCAACCACAACACCCAAATCTATAATCATATCACAAAATTGGACAAAAAGACAGTACTTTGCATTTGGGTTTTCTAAAATTCAACTTCATGCTGCCTTTATCCCATGCAAAGTTGATTGATTACACTCTTACAATCGATCTTGTCTGCAGCTGGAAATTCAGATTGAATATCGTCCATGTCAGCCAATACGATGTACTAAATTGTCACTATTATTGGTGGAATACAAAAACGAATCAATAAATCACAAAGCGTACTACCAGCTAACAAAACGTTCTTGCTGTTATGGGAATAAAAGTATTTAATATTTGCCAACTGTAGTACAGTAAAAAGTACTGTTTTATGGCGCATAAATGTTCTCCCTCGTTGTATCCTCTACTCCCTTCATCCATGTCACAGCACGTCTGCCTTTCTTTCTTTTTCCATCCTCATTACCATATTAGTTATTGGCTTCTATTGTTTCTGTTCTGGTGCAAATTCGTTAGGAATATGTTTTAATGTGACCACTGTACTTGCTCTTATGAGAAAATCTAGTATTAATTCTTTTTCTTTTCATAGTTGATAACGGCCAACACTCTGATCCGTAAGTCGTTATTGTTTCTACAGTTGCCCTGTAGGTCGTCAGTGAGTTTCCTTTTTCTTGATTCTATTTTTTTATAGCTTTCCATGCTCGTGACACTCTTGTTCCTTCCCTTTCATTAAAGGAGATACGCCACAAAATTAGGAACAAAAAAAAAGCCGACAACTTAGCCAATAATATTAGCCGCGTAAGCCGACGCTTTGATAAACTGTGGCTCCGTCATGATCTACCCTTGCACCGTGTTCCTACCATGCAATTTCAAGCCTGTGCACTGTACGTGTGTGTAATAGACGGATGTATGTACCTAGCGGACCGCGCTTAAAATTGGCCTTATTGCAAACAAACCGACATCAAAGCAATGACGGGTAAACCCGCTTTTCATTTGAGTTCCACTAAGATCAAACCGCTGCCGAGGGCTATGGACGGTTATAAGGTTGCGCCACTTCTGAACCTTAACCACAGAAAAAAAATGTAAATAGATAATCATGTGCAATAAAGACAAATTGTTCTTAATGTGGTGTTAACCTGACTGGAATGTGAGCTAAATTTTGCCGACGAAATATGAATTTGTGGGGATTCTCGTAGAAGTAGATATTTATTTTATATTTATATTATATATTTATAGTCGCGGAAACCTACTCATACTCATACTTCTGAAAACGCAATTTCTTAATAAATTTTACGCACTAAACTTATTGTTTTGATTCGGTCTAAGTCTAAGTGTAGAATTTACTATGATGGTTTCCTTTATATCATCAATTTCAGGAACTTAGACTTTCCTATAAAACACTTAACAAAATCAATACATGATCTTCTTTTCCATTCCCTTCCTCGGTCTGCTATAGACGCAATTAGTATCATTATACCTCTGGATTTAAAAGCCTGGGTGGTCTTAGCCGGCTGAAGGATCATCTTCCATCTTTTTTACTCTTGCGCCATGGCCCTCCAATTATTTATTCCTTAGTCTTAGATTTACTTCCACCTGATCTTTATTTCACCAGCAGTAGGCGTTTGATAGAAATTGTATTTAGTCTATTGATCTATTGATCGATCGGACGATATCTAGCTGATCATAAAGTCGGTAGAGTTCTAAGTTGTGGCGTCTGAGCTACACTCCTCCCTGATGGATTCTTCTATACACGTATCTCAAAATATTTCTTTCAAAAACCACCTATTCTTCTTCAATGTCTTATTAACTCCTTCAAAAGTATGGTTGTGGATGGTTAGGTTTGCTATTAATGTCATTGGAGACTTTCTCCAGCTTTTAAGGCACCACAACATGGGTTGTCAGGTTCTAGAGCTCACCCTGATTCTAGATACTTACTTACTTTCTTGTGGTAGCAGCAGGCGTTTCGGAAAACGGATTATTAACGACTGCTGCATAAGGTGATTATTTGCCATTTTCACCCATGTTTCTCGCATTAGTTTTCTAAACTGGACATACTTGGGTTCAAACATAGTTCCAACATATATATTAATTATACTGTTTACTGTAACAGAGTAGACGATACTTCCAGGCACATCCAAAAATGAGAATCGAAACATTTTAACTAGATTATTGTCCTTTTTGCAACCGGATTCTCGGCATCAAAACATTTTTCACCAACTTTATAGGTAATAAAGTTTAGCCGGAATCCAATCACAATCGTAACATTCAAAAGGAAACGACACGATGGTGATGTATGACAGCTTTAACTGTCATTTGTTGCGACCCTAGCGACAGCGGTTGTAGTGCCAACTACAACAAATTTGCTCTTTAAAATAAAGGTCTATGTCTTTCTTTATCTATAAATCTATAAATAGCTTTAGGAGTGGAAGTAACATATTTCTTCACTTTTTATTGTGAGCGCGGGACCGCCTTAGCTAGTGACAATAAATTAAAATTAGGCCGTTTAATACCTTCATTTATTATGTTTATCTTTGTTATTATTGTTTTCCTTAAAAGAAATATTCATTGATTATTATAATTATGCAGTTATACAATTTGTGTTCGTTATTAAATTTTAAAAATTAATTTGCGTATTTTAATTTTAAAGAATAAGCTTTAATGCTGATTGTGGTAACCATTTTACAAATTAGGAATTTACAAATGTTACAGTAACATTTATAAAGCTATATTTGTAGATGTATTTGTATGGACCGTATTTCTCTCTTAAATAATTGACCATAATTGACTAATACATTAGCTTTGTCCGCTGTTTGAAAATAAAAAATAATTATAATAAAAGTAAAAAAACAATTTACCAATTAAAATAAAAAACTTGAGCAAACAAATTAAAGAAATTTCTATGTAATTGTATGCTATAAAATAGAAATTTGTGCACTTCTTTTGACAAAATGTTAACTAGCCATTATTATATTGTTTATAATTCAAATAAAGACCTTTATTATTATTCATATTATTATTGTACGATGTATAGCGACAAGCTCTTTCAAAACTTCTTTTTCAGGCATTCAGCCCTTGACGTAGACCTGATCAAACTGACGCAAAATGACAATGCCTGCGGCGCAGTTCCATTCAAGGCGGCGACGCCCAATACGCCGTTCGCCTTCCGGATGCAGCCGACTCAGCCCGATGTCAGTCGATTGCTCGCGGAAGCTTCGCGGACGATCCGAACGCCACCCGAATCCCAAGCGAAGGCGGCCGAAGTGCGTCGTCGGGAGACCGGCGATAATGCAACCCGTCCCAATTTGAGGAAAACGAATTCTGTGATAGAAAACTCCGTGCCTTCCCTCGCCTGCTTGTCGGAAGACGTGTCAAAGATGCGGGTTCAGGGCACCAACAGCAGCCACAAACTTTTTGTACAATCCATGTCCTTAGGTGGGTAACACTCCGAACTCTAGCAAAAATGAAAAGAAACTACCCTATTCTCTGTTCTTTGTTCTCTGTCGACGCGAATAACTTCCGATCGGTTTGAACTTGGCGTCCTTATTTTTTTCTATATTTTCGACTGTTTTTCGTGCATCATTATGAAACACGATGGCATACGTACGAGTTCGGTAAATTAACGGAACCTATTGAAACTGGGATGTCGGGAAGTATTTTTGAAAATACTAAAAATCGCGTTTGCAACGGTCCGCGAAAAAAACAAATTTCCAAAAAAGTTTTTGAGTTAAAAGATGAATGAGATCGGGATCAAAAGTTTTTTATTTATCGTTTTCACATATTGTATAGGGTGTTCGGGATATTTCGTGCTATAATGCAAAATATAGAAGGTGTCTTAAATGTGTAGCTATGTAAGTCCATGCTCTTATTTTTTAACAATTTTTGATTTTCTTTTATTTTGTTATTTTTGCTTCTAGAAAGAATGTTTTTTTTCGAAACTGTTTAGCCCATCGTTAAAATTCTTGAACTAGGATATTTTAGATTATAAACAGGGTTTTTCAATTCTGGACAAAAATCTAAAAGAACCTGAAAATTCTTCTTTCCCAGAGTAAATTATTAGCCTTAACTCAAAAAATGTGGCTAATCTGTTTAGCATCAATAGCTACACTTTTTGTATTTACGATCTTCGTCTATCGCATACATTGTTCGAGATATTTGAAAAAATCCAAATTAAAATCACCATTTCTCGCCCATAATCTAGACGCGATGACGTCATTTGATATTAAGACGTACCACATGGTTTCAGAAAGCATATATTTTATTGAAAACCATTTATTTTATTGTAAATCTAGGGTTGTAACCTCTATCTGGAACATTGTTTGAATTATATACAGGGTGTGTCGTTTCTGGACAAAATATGTAAAAGGTCATCAAAATTCCCAAATTTCAGTTGTTTTGTGTCTAGTGCATATTTAGAAATATCAGATAATATCTTTAGGTTGTCCGCTATTATTTTTAACATTTTTAATAATGAAAATTTATCCAAAAGAAACGCGTGAGTTTAACAGTCACTTTGGTTTAATTAGCTGACCTTAATACAAAATACAAAAAGTTGTAGCTATTTAAAGGTTTAACTAAATAATAAATATTCCATGCATACGTTTAATACTTTGGGGACAACCTTTTTTTAAATTACCATAATAAGACTTTCCAAGTGTGAAACTATTTCCACAGTATTCCGTGGCTTGAATTGAATATTGAATGAAATGAATGAAAACGATTTCGAAAGAATTTTTCTCGCCTTGTCTTAATTTGATGTAAACCAAATTACCCTAAGAACAAGCAAAAAAAAAGGATTAAATAAACAAAATTTAATATATTACCGGTTTTTAAAAGTTTTGGTTGATATTGTTCAATAGAAAAGACTTCACATGAACATGAATTTTGTATTTTCTGGATACGATATTGGTCATTTTACTACGTCAGTTTGTTTGCCACGGATCGGAGCCACACCCTGTATATAAATCAGAATGAATAAATCAGAAAAACATGAATTTTGTATTTTCTGGATATGATATTGGTCATTTTACTACATCAGTTTTGTTTGCCACGGATCCGAGCCGTACCCTGTATATCAATCAAGCAATGTTCGAAGCAGAGTCTATAGTCTGAATGAATCGCCCCCGTTTCCTGGTATATTTTTTTTCAGTCTCGTAAACAGTTTTTGAAAAATTATCTTTTTTTTAAATACTTCCCGACAGCTCAGACCCCCACCCCATTTTCAATAGGTTCCGTCACGAGGAAAGCTGCATATACGTGCCATATATGAAGTCGGTTGCTTTAAATTTCGGACTCTTATTCGTGTTTCATAGCAATATCCAAAAAACAGTCGAAAATAGAGAAGAAAAGAAGGAAATTCTCAATTTCGTAGTCCAAACGGTTGCAAAGTTATTCCGGAAAAACAGAGAACGAAGAACGTCCAAACAAACAAACAAACTTTTTTTTTTGATGCTGATCATTTCTGCACCAACGGCGGTCCCCTAGGACCTACCGTCAAAATTCGATTGCATCCATTTTCGAAATTAACAAGATTTAGTTGGATGTTTGTGTTTTCCTTTTGTTGAATTTAATTTTGGAATAAAATCACTTGGTTTGGTAAATCTTGGTGTATTTTTATTACAGGTGGTCCAGACACGACAGCGACGAGACCCATCTTCCCGAACTGTCCCTATTCTCCTTATTGTAGTCCGACCAACTCGCCTCGCAGCAGCAGAAAAAGGCAACCACTTAGGGAGTCGCGAAGGGTCTCGATCGAGAAAACCGAGACCTACTTGCAACTGAATCAGTACAAGTTGCTCGATTCAATTGGACAGGTGAGGAACGCTGTGAGGCGCGACAAAAGTTCAGTGCAAATTGTCGTCTTTTTGTTAAAGGGATCGTACGGAGTGGTGAAGTTGGCGTATAACCAGGAGGATGACTCCCATTACGTAAGTGCGTTTGTTTATGGCATTTCAAAAAAATCAATTGATCAATCAAAAAGCGTCCGTATTTAATAATATTAATAATAATAAACTTGCGGGAGTAAAAATCAAACTATTACAATATAAGTTATAATAAAAGAGTGGCGACATTTGCAAATTGCGCTCTTCCATGTAGCCACAAGAACAACAGCACCAGCACCATAATTGTCAACAAAATACACACCCGTATATACCTACATCGTAAGTACAAGAAATAGAAGCACATCATAAAATCATAAGCTTTTACTAGATACTGACGGGCCTAATAAACAATATTAACGCATTTTTAAAGCACTTTATTGTGGGGAGGGAGGTTATAGCATAAGCATTAAATATTTTAACTGCGCTATAGCTAAAACATCTCTGGAAAGTTACCGAAGCGTGTCTAGGAACCGAATATCTCAAACGAGTACAACGTAAAAAAACAAAGGTGTTAAAAAGCCGTCGAATCACTATTAGAGAAGTGGCTGAAGATGTCGCCATCTGTATTGGTTCTTATCATCTAATTTTGGGCATGGAACGTGTAGCAGCAAAATTTGTCCCGAAAATGCTTAATTTTGAACAAAAGGGCCAGGCAAGAGCTGTTAAACGACGTCAATGATGATCTTAATATGCCCAAAAAGTTCATAACTGGTGATGAATATGGCTATGATGGTATATGGCTATGATGTCGAAACCAAATCCCAGTGGTCCCAATGGAAGAACCCAGAATCGCCAAGACCGAAAAAAATGTCAAGGCTTTGTTTACTGCTACCACAATGACGGACAAAACCACAATCGGCTTTTTTCTGTTTACCAAAACTCAAGAAAACATCACTGGAAGAACTCAAGTCTATACCAGAAAGTGCTTACTAGAAGTGCTTTGAAGATTGGAAAAAACGTTGGCAGAAGTGTATGGGGAACAACATTAATTTTGATAAATAAATAAATACTTTTTGATAAAACTTAATAGTCGCCTAACTTTTTGAACACACCTCGTATATAATATACTACCACCGGGGCTTTCTAGGGACGGAGCACACGCTGATAGAACGGGGGCCCCTGAAAGTTAAGATAAAGATAGCTTTATTTCCATAAGACTTGATTTACAAGTGTTGCATATTGTCAGTATAATACGAATATAAAAATGTAAAATTATCTTATTATAATTAATTAATAATAATAATAATAAGTAATAATGTAAAAGGTATCACAAGAAAGAAAATCCTTAATATTGTATTAATTTTAAAATTCGATTTCATCGATTTTCAAAAGTAACAAGGGGAAAGAAACCTGATGGCGGAGCCTCCATATGACAAAGCAGTAAACAGAAATTTTTTTGAGAATGTGGTCCACCTGTTCGAAGCAGGAGAGTCTCGGGTCTACATAAACTCCGAGAAATTTTACAACACTTTTCTGTTGGATTGTGCTTTCATTAAAACTCTTATTTAAATCCTGTGTTGAAAAGGAGATAATCTCAGTTTTTGAGGTTGAGGTCTGAGGTTATGTTTGATTTTGTGCTCCTTAAGCGGCCTTGCATAACTACTGAGAGATAATAATATTTTAAGATTCTCCCAACATTTTCAAAATATCCCCGACCGTTTTCAAAGAGAGGGTATCGCACGTTTGAACCGTGAACTGCTTAAATTTTATGCTCTATATCTCTAAAAAAAATAAAACTTTCTAAAAACTATCGTTCTCTTGGGTCGCACTAAAACTCAACCTGGTTCGAATGAAACTTTCATAATTATATGCGAATTTGTTTTTTGAACAGGCAATGAAGATCCTGTCGAAGAAGAAGCTGTTCAAAAAATCGGGCATGTTCGGCCGTCTGCCGCCGAAAAAGGATGGCCGTTCGAATGCGTCGCCCATAAACCACCCCCTAGAGAAAGTATACCGAGAAATAGCCATCTTGAAAAAACTGGACCATCCCAATATCGTTAAGTTAGTCGAGGTGTTAGATGACCCTGACGAGGACCACTTATACTTAGCTTTCGAACTACTAGAAAGGGGCCAAGTTCTTGAAATCCCTACGGACAACCCCTTGGACGAGGAGAAGGCCTGGGGTTACTTCAGAGACGTCGTTTTAGGCATAGAATATTGTGAGTTAACCGCTTTTCGATTCTAATATAACAATATAATATTTGTGTTTAACATATTTTGGCAGAATTGATTTATCTATTACACAATACAGAGGCTGTTGATACTAGGGCTACCTTTTATATTCCGGGAAAAAACTATTAAAAAACACACTTTTGCATTCGATAAACCAATCATCAAAGCACTTGTCCCACATCGAGTCGGTCACCTCCAAAACATGCTTTTTAAACGCATCACTCCCTTCTTCCGGTGTCAAAAATCGTTGCCCACGTAACTTATTCTTAATGTATGGGAATAAAAAGAAGTCATTAGGTGCTGAATCAGGACTATATGGTGGATGGCTCATCAAATCAACGTTTTTAATGCTCAAAAAGTTCTTTGGTCGGTGAGAGCTAGTATTGTCGTCGTGGAGAGTGCTTCGAAGACTTTCGGCAAACAAATGGTTGTGTACCATTCAGAATTGACTGTTTTACCTTTCACCAAAAAAACAGTTGAAACATGGCCAGTTTGAACTTTACAACGCTGTAGTTTTTTAATTAATAAGAATTTTTAATTCTCATCTAATAATAAAAATAACAGAAATATCAAAACTGACTGAAGTCGGCATGCCCAGTTTTCTTTGTAAAACCAAGTTTGCCATGGAAAAGCAAATATTCGACTGTCAAATTCACTCGTTAATTTAAATTTTAATTTTGTTTTCGAATGCTAAGAGTTATTAATGCTGTTGTTTTAAAATGATACAAAAAAAATATTTATTCTTGCAAAAATTCCTAACAGTCCTTCTCGATATTTGACATCATAAATTAGTCCCAGTTGGCCATGGCTTTCGAGAGATCTGTCCAACAAAAAAAAAATATCAAAATCAAACCGTAATCAAAGATTTTACAACGATGCCACAGCCTTGAGCGGGCGCAAACGATATTTCAAACACCCTGTCTTGAAACATTATAAAAATTGGTATAGTTGTGTTCTAAGTACTATAATTTATTTTCTTAAAAATCCCTAATAGTACCTCTCTCTTCTCCCTCTTTTGTAAAATAATCTATCTATATAACTATAAAAACAAGGTTTTAGTGCATTATTCAGAGACCTATACAACCAAAGAAAAATTGTCAAAATCGAATCATAACCAGATATTTTACGAGGGTGTACAATTTCAATGCAACCCCCTGTATATTATGGCATTCAATCACCCAATGTAGGATTGTTGTGGTGTATAGTGAGTGTTTTCGGATTTACGGCCATTTTTTCGGAAAAAAGGCAGTGTCTTTCATACTCCACATTTTAGACAACTGTAACTTTGTTATGCCGGCAATTTGATAAAGGGGTACAATGACTTATCCTACACTTGTCTTGCAATTATTTAGAATCCTTTATACAGGGTTATATTATACTTCCGTTGCGGTAATATATATGAATATATTTATGAATCATCCTGTATATTTAAATATAATTATAAATTGTTTCTTTTAGACTCTAACATTTATGATTGTAACCTTTCCGTTGACTTTTTTATAGGATCCTGTGTAAGATTTGAAGTATAATGGGGACGTTCAAAATCTAATTAAAATTCAAAACATACCGCACCTTTTCTAAGATTTTGTTGTTTGTGTATTTGATTTGATTGGGATTCTATGTTATACCTAACCTATCAAATAGGGTATACTAATTTTTTTTCTGCCAATTTTGCAAAATTGGTCACACTTTTATTACAGGGGTCGAAAGTGAGTTTTAAAACGATATCGGGCTATTCCAGCAGTATACATTCCCAGAATATCTTCGAGTTATTGCACATGTTATATCGGATGTTTCGTTTCAGTACACTTTCAAAAGATAATACATCGCGACATAAAGCCGGCCAATTTGCTATTGAACGATCAGGACCACGTGCAGATCACCGATTTCGGTGTGTGTAACGAATTTCACGGTTCAGATGCGTTTTTGTCCAGCACCGCCGGCACTCCCGCGTTCACTCCGCCCGAAGCTCTTGGTGAGCAACGATCGGCCGGATTTAGTGGAAAGGTATGTCTGCAACAAGAATAAAAAGGACACTCTCTATCGGCGCTTGCTTGTCGAGTGCCTAGGAAATGGAAAGAGTCCGTTTTTCTCTTGTCTGTGTTGGGTTATTTAAAAGACCTCTCTTAGTGTTCCGACATATGGTCAATGGGGGTGACCTTGTACGCGTTCGTCTACGGTCACGTGCCGTTTCACAATGATAATATCATCGGACTCTACGCGAAGATCAGGCACCAAGACGTGGTTTTTCCGGATACGCCGACGGTCTCGTCGGATCTCAAAGATTTAATCAAGAAAATGCTGGTCAAGGACCCCACGCAGAGAATTGCACTTTGCGAGATCAAGGTAATCAACCCGATGGCCATTAGAAAAACGAGTACGCAGAGAAAAAGAATTTGTCCCTGAAAATAAATATATTATAATTTAATTTAATTACAATTGATTTTTTCAATATATTAATACAATTGAATTTAATTTCATTTTTTTTAGAAGCCAGTTTCAAAGACAATTTAATATGCTTTAATACGAGTTTAAATTGATTAAAATTGATTTCTGCCTTTTAGGTTTACCATCTTGCACGATCCTTGCGGTGTTCCATTTGAAAATCTTGAGATTTTCTTAATTGAATTCGCCAAAACCGCACCATCTATTTGGGACACCCTACATAACTGAGGCGCATCTATCAAACTGATTGAGTAGTGCATCACCTTAGTCTCTGGTTGAATTTTCGTTGCAATACGTGGATCAGTAGCGTCAGAACACAATTTTATATCTGACCAAGAATCGTAAACCCAATAGGATTGCCTAATCCGCCAAACCTGTCCGCAAGTGCAATGCGAAAACTCTCGCTGGCTGTGACGTAGGTGAAGTCCTGTATTATGACTTTGAGTATTTTGAGTAGCTAATATAGCATTTTATTTGGATAATCACTCGTTGTTTTCATTTAATGTCAACATTAAATCGTTTTAGTACTTATTTAATAATTATTGGGAAGTAGCATAGGGTAGGGTCTCAGGTAGGGTGCAATCAAGTTTGGCTTATATGTATTATCTTGAAATACATATATTAATTAAATATTGTTACACATAAATACATAACACTAGCGAACAAAACGATTTACTTGTAAAACTTTGCGTTTTACGGCATTCTACCATTTTAAATATACAAAAATCAACAAATACTTATAAATTAGAAATCCCTATTTTTGGATATATTAAAGAACATATTAAAAAACAAAAAATATATTAGACATACACAACTATTTATAGGTGGTGGGTAAATAATAATATGTATTTATATGTACCCTCGTATGTACATAATATAAAAAATACATATTACTACATATACTTAAATATTTATTTTACAATTTTACCATACTTTCTAATTTTTTTCTGTGGGTATCATTTATAATTTATTATTTGGGGTTCGGAGATGGGTTCTGGCATGGGTTCTGTAGACGGATTTTTCTCTAGAATTTCACTTGCGGCATTCGATGTTGTTGCTAAAAGCTCAGACAATACCTGCTGAGCTTCTTTTTTGGCATTTTTGGAATGAAGTCTTTTTGATCTAGATAATCCTGTTTCTGTTGGTGGCTTCTGGTTAAATAATAATAGGATGGGAACAGCAGTTTTTTTTTTAAAACTTTTTTAAAGGTAAACCTAAAATTTAAATTTTGTGGTGAATTTAATGTGTTACTCAAGACAAACAAAAATCTAATAACTCATTTTGAAAGTCTCTTTCGTAATCATTTTCAGTAAAATGAACTGAGCAGACATAGCTTTTATCTGGACTAAGTTTGTCCTCTTTTCTACATCGAACTATCCACTCGTTCCGAATAGTTTGGGATACTAGATCTTTCCCTTTGGCAAAGCGATGAAAACTACATTTTCGAGAACTTACTTTTTCAACAAAATAGTTGTTATTGCACCCATACATGGCACATCTCGTTCCAGGCAAACCTAACTATTTTTTGATGTAACTTATCCCACTGAAAAAGGTAAAAGAAATGTATTTCCTTACCTTTACCTATATTATTATGTGTAATATTTTAAGCTTACCTCCTAACTAATAACACCGCTAATAAGCAGCACGAACACAAAAATTTTAAGTCCTTGTTTAAGGTTAAAGATATTGTTTTTCTCAGTTGTCGCCACTCAAGCACATACAAGTTTAAAATATTTTTTAAAGCTTAAAAACACTGTTTTTTGCAAGTTTTTTTTTTACAGAAGTACAATTAACACAAACATAAGCGCACTACTCACTAGTTTAAATTATTTTAATTGTTCAAAGAACACAAAATACAACGGTTTAATACGAATTCAAATGCATTGACAGAATACACAAAAACCGTTAGAAGACTTCGCTTACATCACAAGCGACCACGTGCGATCGATAATTTGGCGTCTTATGGGATTGGGCAATCCTATTAGGTTTACGTTTCTTGATATCTGACAATCAAAATATGAAATAAAACACATAACCTCAATTTCTGCCTAATCTATGCAATATTCGAATAGGAATTTCTTCCTCTTTATTTTAACCAAGGACTCAAAAAATGGAGAAATATATAGGATGTACCATTTAAAATAACAAAGTTGATGTAATCTAATGTAATGTAATATTCTAAATCTTCAGGAGAGCCCAAGAAACTTTTGTGAGAAAAATAGGTTCCCTAGACTCAGCAATGTTGGGATTCCACTTTTTAAGTTCGAGGGATCTATTACTTATTAAATAATTAGTAAGACAATTAAAGTAAAAATATAATCAATTTGCTCTTAACAAACGCTTATTTACTGTGATTTTGAAGACAATTAAAGTAAAAATATAATCAATTTGCTCTTAACAAACGCTTATTTACTGTGATTTTTTCGTAACGTCTGTTATTAACACGATTTAATTCAGCTCGGGGAAAAATTTCTCTCTGTGTGTAGTAACAATGATTCGGTAGAAATGCGGTAGAGATTGTCGAACTTCCATCGTTGGAACTACGAGAAGACCAAGCAAAATCGTTAATTATTTAAAAAAAATTAAAAACCACGTTTAAAAGGGTCCATGAAAAAAATCATTTCTCGAAAACCGTGTATGCAATGGAAAAAAAGATTTTAACCAAAGCATCAGCCAGATTCAATGCAATAAACTTTTATTCTTGATCATTTTCAATAAATTTTCAAAAATGTACAGGATATGCTCGATATTCGCAAAAAAACTAAAAACTAGGTTCCTCTTATAATGATATTAACTATAACTAGAAGGCCGTGTTTCAGTTGTCAGTTTTTTATACATAGTCAAATAACTCATACAGACAGCTAAAATTTTGGTATTTAAATACCTACATCTAAATTCTATAAATTGAGCACAATCAAATACCATCAAGTATTTTTTAAAAATATTTGATTTTTTTTTGTTATTTTGGCTTTCAGAAAAAAATTATTTTCTCAAAAACTATTAACCCTATCTGCAAAATTCTTTAACCTTCTATTTGACATGTTTAACCCTTGGAACTCGTCAAATTTATGAGATATTCTGTTATAACTTAATCAAAAAATGAGGCTACAAGATATATTTTGAATTTGTTGAATTCTATACTTTTCTGACTGCTTCTGCAGCGCCATAATTAAAATTAGAAAGAACCGAAGCCTCCCTCACTTTGTTTTAGTTTAAAACTTTAAGGCCTTATCCACGATTAAACTGCAGGCGATTTTCAACATGACAGTTCATGAATTCGTCAGTTTTCGATTTGGATGCGGTATTTTATCAGCAAGCATTTTGTCACAATATGTCCGAGTCGAATTGATTTTCTATGGAGAAAATCAAGTTCATTGTGTGCAATATCACTGTCGTTTTGATTTGATTGAAATTTTTCTTTGGTTGCATCAGTTGTTATATCAAAATATTTTTGTGTTATGAATAAGAAACTAACATATTATTTGTAAATTAATATGCACTTAAATTATACTCACCAAGATTACTTATTTAAATTAGTTTATAATTTATGAAAATAGTTGATAAGGGAGACATATTGTCAGGAGCATACGGTACCCCTATTACCAAATCAAATCAATCAATCAATCAAATCAAAGAAAGATTTTATTTGCTTTCTAACCTTATTAAATATGCTGCGGCCTTGGCGACAAAAAATTCTCTTTATGTAGCTCTACCAATTATTAAACTATGACTTCTGTTAAAGAAACATCCGTGGGTGACAAAGCATGGTCTGTATCCCTTGCCGTCTGAAGAAGAAAACTGCCATCTGGTGGAAGTAACGGAAGAAGACGTAGCCAGGGTCATAACGTCGATACCCAAGCTGGATACGCTCATATTGATAAAACATATGCTCAAAAAACATTCTTTTCAGGTAAATACGACTTATGGTTTACATAAGTTTAACTGTTTTTTTTTTCTTTTTCCAAACCAAAGAATCAAAATTTAGTTTTACTAATGTACGAGAGATGTCAGCGTCATAACAGTTCATATTTTAGTCGCGAGGTGGTGTCATTAGTCACCCCTTCGGGCAATAAATAAGGACCTTTGGAAGTTTTTTTTTGTTGGTACCACTGTAAACATTCTTTTTCTGGTTCTTTGTTACTGTTAAACGATTAAAACGGCCCTTGCTTTTATTTTGAAGTAAAAAGCTGCTGTGGTCTTACAGTACGAAATTCATGTTATATCGGTTGCAGAACCCTTTCTTGTATCGACGAGAGACCACGTTAGGTACTTCCGATACTCGAACTTTGACGGGAATTTCCAAGAAGCACATAGGTCGCTCAGGAAGGTCAAACTCGGCGCCGGATTCCTACAGTTGGTTGCCTCACAGACAGGTTTCGATAGATTCATCGTTGGAGTCTGTGTTGGAGGTCAATACAGACCAAAACTTAACAGAATCGACCATCATCCCTCCAAAAACGCAAAGGGGAAGGCTATTAGAGAAAAAATCCACACCAAAAGTCGTTAATGGAGATTCCAAGCAAACCGTGAATTTAACTAGAGCCAAAGACTGCAAAGTAGACAAAACTACGCCAAGGCGGTGATAGATCTTTTTCCAAACATGCTAAAATTTTCAATTTTCTTTTAATATTATTTTTGTGGGTTTTATTTATTTGATTAAATGTTTTTCTTTAATTATGTTTGTAATGTTCTGCTAAATTTCAAACGGGACCAGTTTTAATCAGTTTATTAAGATAAGAAAACCTAATGTATTGCCTTGTGTGGTAGACCCGTGACGTCACAATTTGACATGTTGCGTGTAACAATGAATTGAGTCTGACACTTAATCTCTTCCAGCGTTTTAGTTTAGAAAAACTATACCATGTCACTTCCAATTATTGTAGTGAAACCTGTTTAAATGTTATGTGATCTTTGTATAGTTTAAATTGCTCTTGGCTATATATTTTCTGTTTAGTTTTTGAATTGTTTATATTTATAAACTTTTTAAATGTTGGACCATGTTGAATCTATTTTTAAGCTCTCTTTCTACACTCATACTTAATATGGCTGATGCATTATAATAGGTACAAAGCAAACAAGCACTCCAAATACAGGATGGTTCCAATTATAATCAAGAAACTTTAACAGCGTATTCGACAGATAGAAATAATTTAAAATCATATAAACTTATGTCCGAAATGCCTCGGGGTGTTGAAATATACCAATCGTTTACTTTCAAAAAAACTTATAAACTTGTTTTTGCTTACTTGTCAGTGGTTCAAAAAAATATATTTTTTTTGCTAAAACCGTTTTTGTTAAAAAAAAATTGTTTACATTTGCACCTAATATACCAGGATTGCAAATTACATTAAGATAATTTGTGCTTATTAAGTTTTATTTATTTACATAACAATTCCAGAAATTATTATATTATAATACCAACGAAGTTTGAAAGCAAAATCTCTAGAAGATTGTTTAAATTTTTATTTTTTTCTGCTGAATACACTGTTCAAGTTTCTCCATTACAGGGGCTGCTCTATATTTTTAGCACACTGAATTGTCGCCCAAATATTCATATTAAACCAAAGCTCAATGATCTCGCCTGAAAATATGTCGTTTAGGAAAGATTTTAATGCAGTTGTGACCAATATAATTCTTGCCCAAATATGCTGTATTAATTTTTTATTGGCATTACAAATATATTCTCCAAGTTACCCTACAAGTAGCACTCCAACGACGCATAAAATAAATTAATTAGCTTGCACCTTCCTTTGTAATCTGTGCTAGTTTTATAAATAAAAACTTGCAAAGCAAACTCCTACTTTATTTACTACTAATAAACATTCAATCCCATGATTCGTTAACACGTAAATGAGCCAGTCTAGATTCTATTGTTACATTATCGTAAAAAGGCTTAACGTTTGCCAATTGCTTCGCTACACGTAGCTCTCTTTTTCCCAAAGCGACTGCATGGCCAAATGATTGCTCCTGCAAAGAAGTGCCACATAAACAAAAAAAAATCAATATTTAAATCCTTACGGGCGTTAAAAATGAGTGCCTAAGGAGAAACATGTTCCTTTCTTCGATTTCAAACTTGTTTTTGAGGTCCTGTATGTCCTTCGGTGTGACTTCTTTGTAAAGTCTACATTTACCTCGCCATATATGTCCAGGGGGCATGTGTTTTCTACGAAACAGCGCAGGGAACAATTTCATTTTACCAGTGCTCGTAAAATAATTTTTAATTCATTAAAACTGTGAGTCTAAAGAAAAATTAAAAAAATGCGGAAATAGGTGAAGTTGTCCCTCTTCATCTTTTTTTTCCTTGTTTGCTATTGTAATACGCATTAAGAAGAGAACGTTTTCTGGCCGAAAGTTCCTGGAAAACATAACTAACAGCATTAAAGAAAAATGAGTGGCTAAATAATATTTTTAAGTTTAAGATGAATGCTAAAATAAGTACAAAATGTTTTTTAAAATTAACTTTGCAACCGTTTTCGCTGGCGGGAGTAATTCGTCATTGTGGCACGAAGCATTTAAAGTCGGTATCCAATCTCAGGAATTATACAAACACAAAGTTTAGTACACATGATAGCATTTCTTCAATACAACTGAAAAAGCGGCCTATTCGCAAAAAAAAGACCTTGGAAGACGAAACTGTACCAGGCGTATATAATGTAGTGGCTTTCTCTACTGCAGAAGAATATAATTTAGAGGATCTTATTTGTGGTTTAAAGAAACAAGGCTTGTATGTTCCAAATTCTGTGCCAAATGATACTGATGTGGTACACGCTGTAAGTGTTCATATTTTCGTTAGTGCAGGAATATTATATCATTTAATTGCAGACAGCTAAATATAAGGTAGAAAAAGAGCCGCGAGACTTATTTTTCTTTAGAGAAGGTAGCATCATCTTGTGGAATGTTACAGACCTTGAGACTAGTAATATTTTAAATTTTCTGAGACGATATGAAGAAGATAGTTACTCTGAACAAATGGTGCAGTCCGAGAGAGAAATAATGAACTATGTTTACCATGATAGTAAAGAGTAAGTAATAATTCGCATGTGTTGCAGTTTTTTATGGTCATTTTATATAGAAAGTCAAGTTGTGTAGACAAGGAGGGCAATTTTGTGCTAAATCCTTCATTAAATAACCTGATCCTGACGAAGTACACTTTTTCAAATGCCATGTTGCTCTCAGTAAAGTTAGGAATTTGGGAGGCGTCTCTTGAGAAATATATTGAAACTATTCAAGACGTGACTGAGGATCTGAAGCGGTAAATAGCCTTATGAACTTAACTCGGAGGTGTAATTGTTTATGATTTTAGTGGTCAAAAAATTAGGATGACGCGGCAGGAAGTACTTAGAAAACATGGGGAATTGTTTGCTTTGAGACATTACTTAAATTTGAGCTCCGATGTGTTGGACACTCCAGATTTTTATTGGGAAAATGAAGAACTTGAAGTTTTATACAATCAAGTGTGCTCTTACTTTGGTATTAGCAAGCGTACTAAGGTATACATTATAATTTGTTTTGTAAATGGGCTGTAAACAACACATATTTTCTAGGTTATGAATGAAAAAATCAACCACTGTGTTGCTCTCATTGAACTTTTATCTTCTCACCTAAGTGATAAACACCATATCCGCCTAGAGTGGATGATTATCATTTTAATTATGGTGGAGGTTGTGTTTGAAGTTATTCATTATATCGACAGGTATTATCATGAGTAGAGATGTTTTGGTTAGTTTACTGGGACAGTTTTCTCCTATGTCCTTTATAAACTGTGATACGAAATAAAGCGGACAATTGTTATTATGTGCACCTCAAAATATTTTGTAAAATAAATTTCTTAGTTTAAATTAAGTATTTGGGATTTTATTATTAAAATCCATATTCCTGAAGTTTAATTAATAACTGCTAAGCGTTAGTAGGTGGTCAAAGTTTACCCTCTTAAATATTTGGGTGAGTCAGTCGCAGTGCCCATAGGATTTAATATCGAAATATGTCATTTGGGCGAACGATCATTGCAACTTGCCCATAGCTTCTGAAAAAACTCAAAAACGAGCTTGATTTCGGGATTAAAGGTTCTGTAGTCATGGTCAAGTCATCTGAAACAATTTGGCCCATTTTAGTTAAGACAGAACCAAAGGTGGGTCATTAAATTTTCAGGTTATGTTATGTTTGTCGCTCGAACAATATATTAGGTATGTCGTCCCACTTGCAAGGCGGTAGGGTCGATATTTCCTTGATACAAACGCAGGCCCGAAATAATTTGATAAATTTATTGGAAAAATGTCGAGGCAGCAAGGCTATTGTGTGGGACAATGCCTTAGCGGGTAAGTTGCTTTTGTTTTCATGTTGGCGTGTGCTCATCAAACCACTATATTTAAGGACCTATGGGTTCTATTGCCCAATATAGTTTCCTTAGGGAATATTCTGTTAAAAAAATGTTTCCGTTGAGAGCTACCGTTTTGCCCGAGTCAGACGTTGACTGTATCATATTTATTTCGCGGCCTAAGCTGCGTTTAATGGATTACATAGGTTAAGTATTCCATTTGAATGATTAGATTGAATTATAAAATATATAATTATTCAGCCTATAATGTACGGGAGGACAGCAAAACCAAAAGTGGTTCCAAAAGGCAATATTACTTGTTTTTTGTGCCCAAAAAGAGCTTGCTTTGTGAGGAACGTTTAAAGCACAATGGCGTGTTTGGTAATGTGATATCAATCGAAGAATTCAAGTGTCAACTATTTCCATTCGATTCCGATGTGGTGTCCATGGAAATATTGGATGCATTTAAGGACTATACTGTCAATAATGATCCTACTTATATTTATCAAGTAGCGCAAGCGATTATTTACCTGCAGGAATTGTATGGGCCCATTTCGCGTGTATGGGGAAAAGGTGTGGCCGCCAAACAAGTCTGGGACCTGGTGGCAAAGCTGCAAAAAGAAAAGAATAACGGCAACGAGACAAAAAACAATCAACCGTCATGCATCAACCAAATTCTTTTGATAGACAGATCGGTCGACTTGATCACTCCTCTGGCCACCCAGTTGACTTACGAAGGACTTATTGATGAAATTTTTAATATCAATAATTGTTCTGCATTTTTTCCCATTGATAATTTCCTCAGTACTGAGGAAAGAAATACCGAATCACTTTCGGACGATAAAAAGCAAATAATACTCGATTCCGCGGACAAATTGTTCGCTGACATCAGAGACAAGAATTTCAATGCAGAAAGTTTCCTCACTTTGACACCACTTCAAAATCAAATAACCATTAGGCTTATTTTTAGGTTGGAACATACCTGTCAAAACAAGCGAAAGCTATTAGTGCCCAGCTGGAAAACACTCAGGAAAAAACCGTGCAAGAAATGAAGCTTTACGTTCAAAAATTGCCCCAGATCTTGGAGAAGAAAAAACAACTCGCAAACCATACCGCCATTGCAGAATGTATTAAGGAACACACTGATCAGTATGATTTCTATGACACTTTGCAGGTAGGTTATGATAAACCTTGCTGGTATTGATGTAGGTTTCTTCTTGACACCAATTGGAAATTTATAGTTTATTCTTTTTAACATTTTAGACTGAACAGGAATTCCTCAGTGGAATAGATGTGGACAAATCCAATTCGTATATCGAAGACTTGATGGGTCAGAGTAAGCCGTTGATTAAGGTGCTAAGGCTGATGTGCCTTCAATGCATTTGCTCTTCCGGGCTTAAAGCAAAAGTGCTAGAAGCTTACAAGAGAGAATTGGTGCAAGTGTACGGGATAGAAAGTTTATTAGCAGTTAGCAGATTAGAAAAAGTCGGTTTATTGAAGTTGCAGTCCAGTACTCGTCAGTACACTGTATTAAGAAAGGTGAGAAAGATTTCCAAGTATATTGTTATCGTTAAAATATCTACATTTTTAAAGACTTTGAGGTTAATAATGGATGACACTTCTGAAATTAATCCCACCGACATCAGCTATGTCCACAGTATTTACGCTCCGATTAGCGTGAGGCTGGCGGAACAAGTGACCAAAAATGGCGGCTGGAAACAATTGCACGACGTCTTGGGGCTATTGCCGGGTACTCGGGGTTAATTTGCCCAAGGGGGCGTGGTTAAAGGTGTCCCGTTTTAGGACCCACACTGGACGAGTCACCATTAACCTCTCGGAATTTGATTCAAAGCAATTCAGATTCGCCAAAAGTGGTGTTGGTGTTTTTTATCGGAGGATGCACTTTTGCCGAGGTAAGAAAAGTATAAGATTACGACCTGGCTCGTGTTATATCGATTTTAGATATCAGCGTTGAGATTTTTATCCCAGCAGGAAGACTCGAACGTAGAATTTGTCATAGCGACTACAAAACTGATAAACGGAAACAGTTTTTTGAAATCCATAATCGAACATTAACCTAACCAATGCTTTCGATAAGTTACTGTTATTATTTAATAAACAAAAATCTTACTTAGGTACCTATAAATAAATTTAAAGTATAAAGTATACCTTCATTTGATTTACATTAGGTCCAACTGGATAATTGAAAAACAAAAATAAAGATTTTTTTTGAACTGCAAGGGAATAAAACTGAGTAGAAAAACATCAAATTTTATTAAATTATAAATAAAACTGCGACTTCAAAACTGAAGCGTTAATTAACTATTTACAATATTGTACAACTCCTTCGTTAACAAGAAAAACAAAGTGGATAATGTGAAAACGCCTCTATAAAAAAAAGTTCAAGTTCAAACTGTTTTTGAACTTTCCAATTTTGCTGGCTGTTTTGCGTTTTTTTAACCAAAAAATTAACTAAACTGAGAGAAACCTACATACCTCTATGAGATTTAAATTAATTAAGCTACGTAACTATACTCCTCGCTCGAATGGGGCGTCCTCTCTATGTACTGCTTATCGATCAAGGATTCTATGCATTTCTTAATCAGCTGGACGCTGGGCGCAAAGGACACTTTGGACTGTGCATAAACCTGCAAAAAAAAAAACAATGCTACGAACCACAAACCATTTAAATCGCTCTACGGACCTCTTGTATGAGCAGGTTGTGCTTCAACACCTTTCTAGACTTCATAATTCGGACTATCGCCGCCTGCAGGTACATCTTCCTATCTTCCTCGACAGAATTCATCGTCTGCTCCACCTCGTGGGGCGTCTCTTTCTGTATCGCCGCCGTTATCCTAAATTTCGTCCTCTTATTCGAATAATCCATGTTTAATCTAAAATTCGTATCGTTCTCGTCAATTTCCTGCAATTTAACATCGGTTGGGTCCTAAAATCGATCATCGTAAAGTTAAACTACGAACGTCGGTATCCGACAGCAACAGTTTCGATTCCACCAAGCTGACAGCGTGTCTTTTGAACTGGTCGCTATTCAACTGTAAGCTCTCCCGGATCTCTTTGCATGAGAGAACGTTGGCGTTCTCAAACAGGAGCAATATGGCCATTTGGAAAGTCTGCACGGTCACTACGTATGGCTTTTTTAGGTACCCTAAGGCCAAAACTGTTTACAAACATAGTAGATCGCGAAAAAAGACCCTTACCCAGTTTCAGTTCCGCCTGGCATAAATGATGAAGCCACGTTAGCTTCCTCCCATTAAATCGGTTATGATAAAAACTCTCAAACTACAAAAAAAAAATAGTTTATAGAGATGCATTCTCGATAAACGATTTGAACGGTAGGTGCCAAAAAAAGTATTCTCACATAGTTTGCAAAAATAACCTAACTTCCCCAAGTTACTGTAATACTATAAAACTTCTGGATTCCTCCTGCGTTGTCGTCAATCATCCTGTTGGTTTCTTCAGAGCTTAACTGATACTACAAACATTGTCTAGGATGACTGATTCCCATATTGGTGAAAAGTAAAGGAAAGGAAAAGATAAATAAGAACTAAAAGTTCAGATTTTCACGAAATTATATATTATGACATGACAATTGTTTCGACAACACCGTGTCTTTATCAAATGACATTTGATAAGGAGACGGTGTTGTCGAAACAATTGTCATGTCATAATATATAATTTCGTGAAAATATGAACTTTTAGTTCTTATTTATTTTGATAAATGGATTTTCATCAAGTAAAAACCACCTCAGTTCAATTTACGAAAGGAAAAGACCTTTCACCCCCTCAAACAATATATAAGCAGGTACAGAGTAAAATGCGAGTCGGTTTTAGTTAAAGCTTTAAAGAAGCCAACAGTATGATTGGCGAAACTTCAGCAAGCAAGTTCAACTCAATAACAACCCACGCAGGACGAATCCAGAAGTTTTGCTAAGATTGTGCTATCAAAAGCCATAAAAAAATTATTATCTCTGGGTATTACTTAGGTATCAAAACAATTTCCCTGACTGTATCGAGATTAAGGGTTCACCAAATGAACTACGGAGCTATACCTGTTCTTCCCAGTTTACCGACAATTTTGGACTCTCCTTAAACGACAATTTACAAGTTATTTTGAAGAAAACGTTCGTAGTACCGTGTCTATCACGCACGGGATAATTTTTCCTGCTGATCATGTCCAAAGTTGCTTGGAGAAAAAAAGAGTTTTATGGTTTTGATTCTAGTAGTATGAGCTTAGCAAAGTTCTAAAATATCCTGCTAAACCACATACCCACTTTTAATTGAAAATATTTTTGCACTGATTTGCTTTAAGTCTAATTCACTATGGAATTAAGAAAACTTTATTACCATACAAGTACAGTTTTAAGTTCTATATATATAGTTCTGTCAAAATGTCTTAAAGTACTACTGAAAAAGTACATTAATTAAATTTCAAATAACTTGGACCCGAATAGAACCAACTAGACCAGAATTTGACTATATAAAAATTGATGGGACCAATATAATTAAGGAAACTTCTAAAATCAAATATTTGGGAATAATTATTGCTCTATACCTGTATTCTTGGATACTCCGAAGGAAAATAGACCGGAATTGGACTACATAGAAATTGATGGGACTAATGATATAATAAAGGAATGTTCAAAAAATTTAATAGATTATTAACGTAACTTTTTGCATATTATAAATTCATTAAAGTCACGCGTATTCACGATGACTACAGATTATGTGTAAAAAAAATGTTCGACGAATATCGAAACAATGATTTCTTTGATATAGCCCATAATTGGACATTGTATATTTTTGTACTGATTTTATTTCTGTTCAATTCTTTTTTACATCCATTATTCTGGAATACTCCGAAGGAAAATGACTAGAATTTGGCAATATAAAAATTGATGGGACTAATGATATAATTAATGAAAATTCTGAAAATTTGATAGATTATTGATGCAATTTCTTGCATAAATTCACTCAGTCAGGTGTATTCATGATGACTACAGATTATGTGCAAAAAAATCTACGACAAATAAGTATACAACGATTTCTGTGATATGGCTTATAGTTGTTAGACATTGTCTACTCTTATACTCATTTTATTTAATTCTTTTTTAAAATAAAAAACTTTTATTATCAAACAACTGCAGATTTAAATAATTTATCCAGCATAACATGTGGTTTTCCTTCTGATTTGAAATATTGAAGAGGTGACAGTAACCATGTTACTTACCATAAGGACGCTTTCCTCCAACTGCTGAGGCAGAGCGAACGGGGTAACTACAGCCTGTCCCAGGGGCCAGGCGCCCGCCTGCAGCACATAAATACCGAAATTGATTCCCAAATCTACGTTGTCCTGTTTCAGGAAGGCGTTGAACTTGTTATTCAAGTCAGCAGAGACTGACATGTCGGTGAACATCCTGTGTAGTTTACTGGTGAACTCGTAACCGCAGGCTTGTTTCAGTCGGTTTATCATCGCTTCTTCGGCGTCCATGCTCTGGGTCTGTTGGTGGATCAGGCGTTTGGCCAAAGAACGCGAGTAAAACTTCTGGAATACATCCTTGTCGTCGATATACTTAAAGATGGTGATGCTCTCGGTCAGTTTTTCGTCGACCTCCGCTTCCGTTATGCCCTTGCTGCTTTTTTTAAGTAGCGTGTCGCAGTATTTCGCGAGAAGTTCGGGACTTCGGCAGGGAGACCGACCGTCGTTGGGTCGATGGTTAATTACGGAATTGCACGCTTTGTCGAGGGCGCCCATGAAATTCTGATCCGACTTGAAGACTTCCTGGATCAGTGCTTTGTATTTTTTGTAGACCGCGAGGAGATTTTCGACAAAATTTATATGCAAAGAGTCACCTTGCAAGTTATGTATCGCCTGAAAATTATTAAGCCCTCAATATGGCAAGAAATGGGCATCTATTGGATGGATTGGAAATTAAGTTACTTACTGCCAGGCCCTGCGATTTGATATGATCAAAAACCGTATCAACTAGGACAACTAGAGCATTCGGTACACTTTTCAACAGGTCATACATGTTCGATAGGTCCCCTTTACGTTCATATTTCACCATATTCTGGCATTCGCTATACAAGAATTGCAAATGTTCTGCTACCATGTGCGTTTCGCATCTGTTGGCCAGCTTCTCATAAAAAAACAATTGTTTTAACTATTTCGTTAATGTAGTTTAAAAATTCTAACCTTTGCCAGCGAAGTGTGGTGCAAGAATCTTCTGGTCCGGAACAATTCCTCTTCAATTTTTGCCTTGACCTGTTCCATATACAAACTAACGTCACGTTCTTGAAGCAATCTCGCGGCGTCTCTTTTAAAATGCTCACCGCTTGAATTTAAAAATGTTTCTTCGAATAACTCCTGATAGAGTTGCAATTGGCCCTTTTTTCTGTAACTTTGTACCTCAACAAAACTTAAAATGGTACCACGGACTGCCTCTATAGGTATTTTGGGAGGCTGCCCTGCTCTGTCCTGATCAATTGCTTCAAGCAATAGTTTAACCAGTCGAGAGCCCAGGGGAGCTATCATGTTTGACTGCCAAACTTGAAGAGCCAGCTCTCCAATTTCCATTTGATCGCCTAGAATTTAAAAAAATTGTTAAACATTAAAAATGTACATTTTAAAAATAAGTATTGCACCTCCAGAGCTGGATGAGGACTCAGAACCGCCATAGATAATCTCTGCATCAGACAACTTCTGGGTTTTTATATGCTGTTGATTGAGGTATAGATAGAGACTGTGTAAGTATTGGCTCCCAACAGAATACTACAAATTACAAATGAATGTTCATTTATCCATGTATATGGAGTACACAACCAACCTGTGACCAATATAAAAAATAATTTTTGACAAGGTTTTGCTCCCCATCCTCTTGAACCTTGTTTAGTAGTTTGGCAACATGGTCAATGAGATACTGTTTAGTTTCCGCGTATAATCTATCCGCCAAAGGCTCTGGATAAGCCACACATAAAGAATAAACATCCCTAAAGTGACATACAATAATAAATATTGACTGAGCTGCAAAGAGTAGCTACTTACGAAAATCTGTCGTTCCACGCAGTACGGGGTACATGGTCGAGCGTTATGACGCCCCTAATAGTTTCCCTAATAGCACCCCACGTGGAGCTAAAATCCACTTGACGCGGTTTCAACGACATTTTCTACTTTTTTGCAAGTAATTAATGTCTTTGTGTTTGACCACTGCCTAACTGCGTCACTAACCTTTATTTTCGTCCTAAAAATAAACGCACACGGCGTTATTGGAAAATAAATGGTACGGCCGGACCGATATTTATAAATAACTGTTTTTTAAATTCTCCTTTGACGTCTTTACGAGATGTTTCCTTGTTCGATACGAAAGGGCTAATTTGAGGGTTATTTCGAAAATTGTTACCTAGAGGAATTGAACGGTTGCCATAAATTTATTTAAACGCGTTAGATTTTGAAATGCGCAAAAAATCTGAATGAAAATACAAAATACGTAAAATAACCTCATCCCTCCCTTGACAACCGAACACAGAATCCAATAATATCACCGTCTAAGCAGGAGGCTAACGTCATCAGTTACATACATATTAGCGGTAAGAACTTTACTTAGAACAACACGATCCGTTAAGGTCATGCTCTGTGGTTATTAGGACTGTGTGTTTCAAGAAGCAATAATTGTATATGACCATATACCATTAAAATTGAATATGACCAAGTTACAAATTTATGTTATATAGATACATTGATCACGGTGAACCCTTGAGAGATACCGGTAATGGCCGAGTGTTTTCAGGTTACTTTCGCAACATGGAGAAGAAAATCCGTGTTTGTTTATCTATTTCTTTTGTGGATTCTGTGGGGTGTCGTATTGTATATGGCGGTTTAACCGCCGAACGCTTCCGGCAAAATCTGTTCTATTCGTCCCAAAAATTTTGATATCGGCCTCAATTCTCTGTGTATTGTTAACGTTTTAAAGTGTGTTGCCTGTCAATTTGTTTTAGCAGTACACGCTGGTTGAAAGTCGGATGGTCCTGTTTGATCCGGGGTGGTTGTGGGGAATGCCATTTTTTTTTCTTTGGTCAAAGTTATGGCGAATGGGCGAATGTCTTGAGTACACTGTCAAATTAGAAACAAAGTAGAAGTACTTCAATGTGAATGTACTTCAATGCTCATATAGCATTTTAAAATTTAAAAAATGGAATTAATGTTAAAAGTAAAAGATGACTTTCTGAAACTTTCAAATATTTGCCGTGCTTGTTTGGAGAAATCACCAAAAATGAAGTCATTGTTGGAAAATAATTCGGAAGTTACCAATCTTTTAACTAAATTTGCAGCCGTTTCCAACTTAGAGGTAGGATGTCCTGTTAAAAACTTTAAACCGTGTTATTTTGAGTTTGTTGCAGATAGAGTTTAATGTCAGCTGTGCCCCTTATTTATGCCTTGTCTGTGAGGATAAAATTAATCGCGCTTATGAGTTTCAAGTTATGTGTAAACAATCCTACAAATTTATTGAAAATTTAGTGAATGGAAACTCAAATTGCACGAACTTGGATGCTGATTCGTCAGCTGATCACATAACAAATCTCGAATCATCTGAAGGTATTTTACCTTGGCCCAATTTAAGTGAAAAGATAGCTACTGATGTTTCTGCCGAAGACAGCTTAGAAAATGAAACAAAACTCGCCAATAAAAAATCACTTTCAAATGAACAGGTCAAATTGGCTATAGAAAATGCCAAAGTTAATCTATGGTGTCACAAAAATTGTTGCCTTTGCAATTTTTCTGCTACTGATAGCAAATATTTGCCTATACATTTTTCAAGGGAGCACAGGTAGATTAATTGTTGTGCAAATCTCTGTTTGGTATGAATTTAATTTTTCATGTGGGTTGGATAGTTATTTCCTGTGTTGCAATACTTCCCATCTTCCAACACTCCAAACTAGTTTCGCTTCTGTAAATGCAAATTGCTATATTTTAGGGCACATGAAGATAATTGGTGTTCCATTTGTAACAAAATTGTTTGTAACTTGCAGTTACATTATACAGAACACTATGACACATTTCGTTGTGTCCTTTGCAATGATGTTCCACTTGGACCTCAAAATTTATTGAAGCATTTGCAAGATCATTTAAGTAAGGTTTTTCAAGTGTTTCTCTTTGAAATGTAGATCATTTTATCTTTAGACAAATGGGGAAATACTTACTTAGACCAAAGGTCTTTAAAGGATCATTTGAAAAGACACTACATTTGTGGAAAATGCAACAATCAGTTTCATAATTTTAATGATTTTAATGATCATGAGTGTCCATTAGAGAAAGATCGGATTGGTCCTGTTGAAATTTCAAAAAAAAACAATGCGAATCAGCAAATGAGATTAAGCCAATATTCAGTAGATGAAGTTGACCGGGCTCTCAACCAAATAAGAGAAACTTTCAACAAACATGTGACATGCATTTGCTGCAATTTCATTGCGACCAATAGTAGAAGTTTGTCAGTTCATATGACAAGGATTCACAGGTAGAAGAGCCCATATCTGGAAAAAGGTCCTAAATTAATTTTATCTTAACAGGGAATTGAAGGATTTGTGGTGCTCTTCTTGCAATCAGTTTGTGAATGACTTATTGGAACACGGTAGACAAGAACATTCAGAGGATTTAAGATGTCCATTTTGTCTAAAAATTATGTCTAACATGAGCCATTTGATGGAGCATGTAGCTAGTCATTCAGGTAAGGCACACAATACTCAGATCCATATTCCTATTCTACCTGTGGCGCCCCCCTGGCCTTTATGGCCAGGGCATTCCCATTGTGATATCTCCTGCCTTCCTGAAAGGGACCGCCAGGTCCATTTGATTTCCATGTAGGAACGGTTAGGCAGCTTCAGGGATATCAGCTTAACCCCACTTTTCACCAATATCACCAATATCTCTCTCAGCCTGAAAGTCTTTCTTGTCACCACAAAATTTGCTTCAGTATGTCTTTTTCCTATATTTAATGAAGCTTTTGGATTTTCGTAGAGCTCCCAATCTCTAGGTTCATTGGAGAGCATGAAACTTACACCTTACTTTGAGTTTCTCAGGGTAATACTTCTGGTTCACTATTCCACCATGGTGTGGGCTCCTTAATTCATCATGAACTGGATGTATCTGTTGTCGGACGTACTTTTCAGTTACAAATTACACTCGCACTTGATTTGGGTGATGTCTATTACCTCCCTCCTCACACTTTTGACAAAATTAGCTGGGTGCCTCTGTTCAGCACCTCAAGTTCAGAGGAGGCAGCATATTCTAAGAGCCCTTTGAGTTGCTATAACAAATAGCGTGGTCCGCATTAGCAACACACCCAACTCTGTGAAATGGGCGGTCTTGGTGTGTTGTAGGGCAGACGGATGAAGACCGCTCCAGTTTTCCGTATACCTTGTTACTTTCGAAAATCGATGAAATCGAATTTTTCGAAAGTATCTACTCTCGTATAAAAATTTTATATCGGTAACGGTAGGTCATATGGAATTGCCGTTGGTACAGAAATGATCACCGTCGAAAAAAATTTTTTTTGTCTGTTCGTTCTCCGTTCTCGTCTTTTGGTTTTTCCTGAATAACTTTCGAACCGTTGGAGCTACAAAATTGAAATTTGTCTTCTTTTTAATCCTCCACGAGGCATATAAGCTTATAAGAAATGGCCCTGATCCGACGCCGGTATCTATCTTTGCAAGGGTCTACAAAAAACATCTTTTTTCAAAAACCATTTACGAAACCAAAAAATTCTTGAACCAGAAGACGCAGAAGATACGACTTCATAAATTTTTATTAAAAAAAAAACTGAAAAATGTGTCCCCCTATTATTGAAAATTGGTTATAACTGAAAGACTGTGAATCAAATCTCACTTTCTTTTATATTGCGATATAGCCCATATAGGCAGCAAAAACTTTTGTATTTAAGGTTTTCGCCTATTGTACCGGGTGTTCCCGATATTCCGTGCTAAATGAGAAATGTGTTTAGTGTCCTAAATTTGCAGATATCAACTTCAAATTTAGCAGAGAAGTAAAAGTCCGTGTCCACATTTAAACGGTAGAAATTGGGCGCAATCAAATTTTTCCAAGTATTTTTTAAAAAATTTTGAAATTTTTTTTTGATAATTTTAGCTTCAAGAAAAATATGTTTTCCTCCATAATCATTCACCCGATCGGCAAAATTCTTTAGCCAGCGTAAGATCTAGTGCAATAACCCTTATTTTAGGCATTTTTTCGATTATATACAGGGTTTTCAAATTATAGGTAAAAATCTAAAAGACCTAGAAAATTGTTCTTTTTCGGAGTAAATTATTAGCCGCAAATCAAAAATCGTAAAAAATATGGCTAATAGGTTCAAACAGTGTCATATGCCGCATCAAGAGCTACAGTTTTTGTATTTGCGGTTTTCGTCTATCACATACGCTGCTGGGAAGATTAAAAAAAATCCATATTGAAATCGCTATTTCGGGGGCTGTCAAGACGCGATGACGTCATTGATTATTACGGCGCACTGCATGGTTTCAGAAAAAACTTATTTTCTCGATAACCATTTACTATTTTCAACAAATTGTTGGACCAGGAAACGTGGAAGATCCAGGGGTATAACATCCACTTAGAACATTGTTTGAATCATGTACAGGGTAAAATTTTCCGTTTTTCTGGGTGAATTATTGGCGGTAAATAAAAACGAAAACGCTATTATTTGTGCAAAATTTTAATATTTACCGATGTTTACTGTAACTTTGAAGCTCGACGAGATTTGAAGGACACTTTATACAGGGTGTATGCACAATTAAATTCATAGTCGTCCGCAGGAGCACGATATAAAAACATTGCCTCTGGTTACCACACGAAACCGCAAAGTTCTTTTCTTTTATAATAAAAAGCTGTTTCGCGCTAGGCGCTACGAATTTGCCCCGCCCAACGAGGATTTTTCGAAGGCAATCTTGTTTATCCTTGACCTTAGCGCAATGGGCTATAGGGTCAAATCATCCACCTCTTTTTGGAATAGAGCTATCCATATACTTCATTGCTTGAAGCTTCCCAATTCTATGTATATCTCCGTTATACGCTCAAATCGCGTCTATAGATTGGGTCATGTCGTGCATTTTTAGCAGAGAGAATACATAAATGCTTTATTTGTCAAAAGTCGTTTATATCTGCCCGCAATTTGAAGAAACACAAAGAGATACACGACAAAGACAAGTCGTTTCGATGCAAGGTTTGCCACAGGAACTTCACCGAAAGCAAGGCATTAATGACCCATCTAAAGGATCATGTTAAATGTGAAACGTGCGAAATGGTATTTGAAAACTCTGAGCTGTTTTGCAAGCACTCCTGTCGCGGTGAAAAAATAGAAATTGAAAGTGGCAACAAAGAAGCTCAGAATTTCTGCAGGCAATGTAACAAAAAAGTGAGAAGTCTGGCAGCACACGTTAATAGAATTCACACGAAATCTGAAAGGGGTGCCGAATTCAAACACCTGTGTCCCCATTGCGGTAAACAATTTAGGTGAACCGTTCAAAATTGTATCTAGGAATTTGGTGATCCTGTGAGCGTTTTCAGAACGGTTTCCAAATTGAATGTGCACATCAGGGTGCACACAAACGAAGCGCCCTACAAATGCCAATATTGCGATCGCAGGGTTAAAACTAGGAACGTTTTGGTGGTCCACGAACGCACCCACACAGGAGAGAAACCCTACATATGCTCCGTTTGCGGAAAGGTGTGTAAACGTCGAGATGAAAGGGGAGGTTTCCCATATCTGCGATTTTAGGGCTTCTCTCAATCAACCATTCTAAATACCCACTTGCGAATTCATACGGGTCGGCCGGAAAAGTGTACCATTTGCGACAAACGGTTTTGCAGAGCTGCTGAATTGAAACTCCACATGAGAAAACATACTGGTAAACTAGTGCGGAAATAAATCAGGAGATGTTGCTAGTTCTATTGCAGGTGAAAAACCTTACTCTTGTAACCATTGCGGTCAGAGCTTCAAACAAAAAAGCCATTTGGTCGAGCACACTAGAATTCATTCCGAAGACAGGCCCTACAAGTGTGAATACTGCAAAAAGGCGTTTAAAAACTTGGGAACCCTCAGGACTCACGTGCAAATTCATTTAGGTTCATACGCAGGCGACGCTTTGACTTAGCTTAATCCGCGTCTTTTAGGTCAAAAGCCATATAAATGTAGCCAGTGCCCGTACGCGTGCCGTCAGCCATATAGCCTGACCCAGCACATGCTACTACATGATGACGACAAACCGCAACCAGATAATCCGTATATTTGCTCCATCTGTCGAAGGAGTTATATCACTGTAGCTCATTTCACTGCGCATTTTATTAAGTGGGTAGGGTTTGACCCTCAGATAGTGCCCATCAGTTTGCGTTTTTCTTCAGGTATCATAGTGAGTCTTCGGGAAGAACCATCAAAGAAGTGATGGAGAAAGGGGAGAACAATTTGGAGGCCCATAGGCAGTCCTCAGATGATGATACTGTCGATGCCAGGTCGGACGACTCCCATTATGTTTGTTAATTTGGAAGAATCTGCCAGTATACAGCATAGTGAATATCAATAAATTGTATCTTACCCTCAATACATTGTTTTTTAAATGAAAATTTTACAACTTTGTCTGAAATTCGATATTCGGCTAATATTCTGTTGTGCATTGCACATGACAGTCTAACCCCCCTTCCCGCTCCCTGCAAAATCCATTGTATCCCTCTCAAAAACCTTGATATCGTTTTTTTTTCGTGTGATTTTGTTTCGGAAGTGTTTGGTGAACGTTGTAAGTGTGTAAGTATTGCCGTCCCCGCTGTTTTGGCCGTTCACGCCGGTTCAAGGCCGTTTTTTTTTGGTACCGGTCAAAGAACAAATGTTATTTATATTCCTGTTGTATGTGTTGGTCTGTGACGAAAAGGAAAAGTTCCTCGACGGATGTCGGTAATGGGTGAATAACCATAGTAGTCTTGCCCAAATGCTTGAAAATTATATCTATCTCTTTCTTCGGCTATGGGAATCGGTGTTTTGCTTGTTAAAGCCACTTTTGACATTTGTCAATTCTGACGGTCATGTCAGTGAATGTATTCGTGTTGTTTTGCGAAAACTAACCCAAAAATTAACGGCCGTAGAAAAAGTATAGTATGCAACACGTTCGGTAAACTTTTTAACTCGCTCGTTTATGAAACACTCGCTCCGCTCGTGTCAAATAAACTCGTGAGTCATATGCCGTTTACCGGACTTGTTGCATAATATTATCAAATTATCGCACTTCGTAAAGTTTAGGTATTAATTATTTTATAAGTAGGCCCTGATATATTTAACATTAGCATTGAATTTTCAATAGAATCTGAACGTAAATAACGACTTCTGAATAAGTCAGATGATTTGGGCAAATTGCCAGCTACGTGTTTTTAAAAAAGAAAAAATCGGAAAAGTCTTCATTAATATAATTAACGGTTGAGCAACCTCTAAGTTACAAGATAAACATTAAAAAAGAAAATCGCGACAGACATTTTTGGCATTTGGTGATTGTTTTTGGTGCAGTGTATTTCCGAAATTTTTTGTTTCAATGTTTTTATAATCTAAATGTGTCAATAATTATTTATCTTAAGGTTTCTACAACCTCAAGAGGATCAACAAATTTATAGACACCATTTTTTGTAACCAAAGAGGAAGAAATCCAACTGCGAAAAGTCAGGGGACCTAGGAGGCCAAGGTGTAATGAATAATTCTTTCGACAAAATGCTCGCTTAACAAGTTCCTGACTTGATTAGTGTTACATTTATGATAGTAATACGAGAAAGTGTACAACTTATTAAACCACTTTTGATATTTTAAATTATTTAACGTCAAAGACAGAGACAAGAGAAAAATATGACAAATATATCATGGCCTACTCATAAAATAATTAAGACCCAACTTTACGAAGTGTAATAAAATCTGATGTGCACTTGTGAGAAATTATTGAACTGAAATTAATGCGCTGTTTTCGAAAATGGAAAAATCCAATATGGCGTTTTCGCCCTGAAGAAGCCAACATGATGATTGGCGAAACGTCATCAAATTTGATTTGATTACAGTAGAATGTGGAAAAAAACATACTTTGTTACTCTGAATGTTTTCAAAAGTTCACTTTCAGCACTTAGCACTGCTTGCTTTTTTCTCAAATTTTCTCTCTTGATGTTTTTATGGCTGCAGTGCCACTTAGATAATGTTTGATTTTGTCTTCAGGCAAAATGTTGTTGTGCAATCAGATCATCAACCTATCATATCAATAATGAAGAAACCAATCCAAAAAAAGGTCTAGATTACATCCCAGGAAGCAACTTACAATTTGAAGATATGTTAACAAGAGCATTTTTAACAAACCAAACTTGGTTTGATAAAAAAAGTTACGTAACATCTTACCAGCAAAGACTCCGTCTTATCACTATAACTACTAAAATAATCAAAACTTACCAAAACTGTTACAGAATGGTTCTTACAATCAATAAGACTCGAGCACTATTTTATGTCGGCCAATATCATTTTTTTATTTTGTAAAAAGTTGTTTTAATTACAGATATTCAAGTATTGATTGATGATTAACAACGTCTGAACCTTGTTTTGTTCTAAAAACTAATGGGAAGTCATTTGTAGTGCTAGTAAATATTAAGATCACGTAATCAATTTTTTGAATTGTATTATTTGCGTTAAACTATTATCACCAAAATCGATGCCCAGCTGTTTACAGCGAGAGAGTAATAAAATGTGTGCTAGTATTTTCATCCTTATTTATACGTGTTTGAGCAACAAATTCAGAATCAATAGCTATTTTCAAAAACGAACTTTACCAACAATTGTTTTTTCACATCCCACTCTCGCTACTCCTAAGCTAAAACCCCTAATTTTTGCTGGTCAATAACTCTCTGGCATTAAACATATAGTCGGTACGATTTGTGATGGCATAATCGATAATAAAATGCCAGAGAGAATAAAATAGGTTGTTCGTCTTGCCTCTACTTATATAGTTCTACAAAAGATATACCGCTTTTACAACCATTTATGGTTTTGACTTCGGAATGAGTGACCCGCCTGTTGTAAAGCGGAAGGGACCAACTGTGTCGTGCGGACTGTTGTATTTGAAGAGTAGGAAAATGTTCTTTGATTAAACTGTCATATCAATTCATATTACTTGGGGTATTTCGATTTCAAGTTAAATTTGTCCATTAGATAGGTTGATCTCTTATATTTAAAACACATTAGAAAGCTTAAATTGATTTCCAATTTTAGAGTTTAATATAATTACTCTAAAATATTTCCCTAGGAAAGCAATGCAAAATTTTATGTAGATGATTGATTTATAATGGATGTTTTCCCAGTTTGCTATTGATTGATTTGTGGGGGTTGGTGAAATCGGAGTATGCTGTCAGTCTTGGAGTTATTTCTATTCCGTCTTGTGTTTGTAATCAGTAATTACCGAGTTACTGTCATTCAATTCTTTTTCACCCAGTGTGTCATTTTTATTGAAATACCATATACATTTCATTACAATTTATCCAATACAATTTATTACATCTATCAGCTTTACTAAAGCTAAATACCGGATTATGTCGTAAAAATGGTATATCTTTTGGAGAACTCCACTTCAACAGATGTTGTTCCGCCTTAAATATCTATCTGATCATTGCAAGATAGCCGTTACTAACGATCACGATTATATTACTTGGGAGAAAGAGAAACAGAATCGGTCGCACTTGGCATTTATTAATTTCACTACTACGGCCATACACTATGTAATAATAGATCAAGGCGTTGCTTAAAGAAACGCGAATATTTAAGTAGGTGAAAAAATTGTGATAATTTGTTAAATAATATATTGTCCGAAAGCTCTGTCCATTCAATAAAAATTAAAACAAACCACAAAAATCGGAAAATTAAAAAAACGTACCGTATAAAATATAATTTGCCAAGAGTAAATATACCAGTAAACCATAGTTAGTTTGTATTTACGACGATCCTAATACCGTTACGTCAAGTGTATTTTCTTTTTTCCAGTATATTTGTATTAAATATTCTGTATATGTTATACAACTGATCCAATTTTCTTTGGTGACTGTTTGGAGAGCTGCCTTTCAAATAGATACTACTGCACTATCATCGTACGATTTTTATTAAAACATATTTGACGCTCAGTCTACACCAAAGGAGACAACATTAAAACTTGATGACCCGTTTCAGTAATTATTTCATCTGTAGCATACGGCAAATTTGTTTTTTCAATTTTTGACAATTTTTAACAACTCACATTTTGGGCCATTTTCTTATTTACTTACTGCGCAGTCGATAGATATTTCTTTTCTTGTCGATCCATTTGGTACACTTTCACTAAGTGCAGAATAATATTTTTTATGACCGACTATACCGTCGCCAATCGTCCCGACTATACTTTAATACCGAAAAAAATTTTTTTTTGGGGTATAAATGTATGAGATTAGCAATGCTCATGTTAAACATTATTCGGAAGCCTTTTGTAATGTTAGTGTACGGGCTTGAACGGTTTGGCAACATGGCACAATGTCAAATCTTAACACCGTCATTATTTCCTCTCGCCGAAAGAGCCAGTAGCACACCAAGCATTTTATGCGACATTTTTTTTTCGGAATACCCGTTCGAACCAGTATTTTGGTCATTGGTCCGTCGATCATGGGATTCATCTATTAAATTACGCGATGTCATTTGTCACACCCTGTAAAGAAGTCGCGAGAGAGTTTTAAAAATTGTATTGTAGGTCATTTCTTGCGAAACCCGACACGGCTACTTCTTTTAAAAATAACGGGTAAAGTTTTATCCATTACTCTCTCTGTTGGTGTTTTAGGCAACGCTTTGTGGGGGCGGGCGCCACAGAGTCTAGCCCGTTCGGCGTCCATTCCCGCCGTAAAAGCCCCATTACCCGCGGACCTTTTGTCTGTCGACGCCAAATCTGCTTATCTCAGTTTTACTTCGCCGTTAAGGCACATAATTTTAATGGATTGACGTGCACCAGTTACGTTCGTTTATTTTGCTACGGGAAAATCCATTTTGTAAAAAAAATAAAGATTAATTAATTTAAAAATGTCCGTGAAAGAAAGAAAATAATTAACAAAGAAACTTCTTATGAACATATGTCCTAAATGTCTTAACTTTTGAGATATAGAGTGATAAAGTTTTCAAAAATAAAATATATCTTTTTAATATCTGTAATACCACTTAATTCTCAACGGTATTTTACACACAGCCTTGATTTAGTAAGAGTCAAGGTTACAAAATAAAAGTGTTTCAAAAATCTTCACTAGAATGCACTTTACCTAAAATATTTTTTTTATTTTCCCTGTATTTTATTTATGTAAACTGATATTGCGAAATAGAACAGATTGCATTAAACAGAATCACAAATCCTCAAAAATGGTTACTCTTGTTTTGAGTTTTACGGAAGAGCAAGAGGAAATGCATACCAACATTATTAACCTGCAGGCGACGTGCAGTAAATTTTTCAAAATAGTATGCTACAAATCAAAAAAGTGAAAAAATGGCATAAGTCAATGCAATAACATAATTAATTTAAGTAACATAAATACATTTAACATTTTCAAAAATAAAATATTATTATTAATAATAATCGGGAATTATAAAACAATACAACAATTCATTTTCAAAATGACCATTTTCATTTCTAAACATATTCTTATATATTTTTAAAAATGCTGTTGAACAAGAAATTTTTTTTCTGTTTCTAATGATTCCGTAACCGTTTATCATCATTGATATCGGTTATAGGTGTTTCATGGACTAAGAAGTTCATCGGATTAAGGTCTGGTGATCGACGCGGCCAAGCTAGAGGCCCGAACCGACCTATCCATAGATATCCAAATGCCTGATTACAACCAACGTAAAATGAGGTGGAACGCCATCTTGCATTAACCACATGTTTTGTTTCTACTGCAAGACTCTTCCTCTTCCAGCAAAGGTTTTAGTTCCTCTTGAGCGATCCGTTAAAGAAATGAGATCCTATAAGATCATCTCCTATAATCCCTGACAATATATGGCTGACGTTTTCCTGAAGCATATTTCGAAAATTTACAATGCCATCACGACTGAATGCAGCCTTGTCAGCGAACAAATTGACATTTAGGAATTGCGGGTAATTTTGAATTTTCCCTAAAATTTCATTGCATAAAATTACTCTCAATTGGTCGTCATCCTCATACAGTGCTTGACCCCTGTGAACATGAAGATCATTTTCATGCAAAAGTTCCCAAACTGTAGAGCAAGCAATTCTTTCTTGAGTAGCAAGTTTTCTCGTACTGGTTGATGGTTCAGCCTCCACATTTTGAAGTATTCTTCCTTCTCTCGCAGCGGTTCTTTTCATACCTTGGTCTTCTGTGTATGTTGATTAATGTCTTAGCAGATGGAACGTTTCTATTGGCATATGCATCGATATAGAGCCGTCGTGTTTGATCTGCATTTCCATTTGCGTTTTCGTAGCAAAAATACATATCGTGATATTCAGTATTTCAATATTTCTCACGGACCATCACAGTCGTAGTTGAATAAGTTCCTTTAATAGAAACTAATTTTTAACGGATTTTGATAATGACGTTTTCAAATTTCATTAAGTCTTGTTAGGTAAAATCACATTTACAAATAAAATTCGAATTGGGAGTAAAAAATCGATTTGTGGCTAAGCGATAACACTTATCGATTTAAAACAAGAGTTTTTGGGGATTTGTGATTCTGCTTAAGATAAGCTGTTCTATTTTGCAATATCAGTCTAAATAAATATAAAATACAGGGAATATAAAAAAAATGTTCTAGGTAAAGTGCCCTCTAGTGACAGATTTCTGAAACACTTTTATTGTGTAACTATGACTTTTATTGCATCGGGGCTGTCTGTAAAATATGAGCTTATGAGCACGACTCAATTTCCGAACTTCTTAAATGTATAATGTCGTTTATTGTATATGCGATCCATGATTCATGGGGCATCAAAAATATTAAGGAAATTGTTTAGCGCCATGACCATTACTGAGTTCAAAATGACTTTAATAATTTGAAGAGTACAGGGGAATAAAGATGAGGGTCCATTTTTTGCCCAAATAAGACTAACAGTTATTTCGCTATATCGGCTATAGAATACTATCCACCTATAAGAGATGGCTAGAAAGATGACAGTACAAAGATAAACAGAATTTAAAATGTATAGTAATGGGCAAAAAAGATGAAGGTACCAGAGGTTGTGCGCAAGAAAGGTGACAGTCCATAAGAAGTTTGTTGGTGTTATTATTCATTTTTCTGTTTTTAAAGTTTTGTGGTGTATTTCTTCTGGTTGAATAATGGCTGGGCAACAAAAAACGACGAAAGGAAAATCCTATGAACGAGTGCAGGATGTAACTCAAAAGTAGTCAACAAACTGGACAAGACTGCAAATGTTCAAAACTTAAACGTTTCCAAGATCTCACTGCAACCGATCGTGTCTAAGTTAAATCAACTACAAAGTTTTTTTTTTTTCACAGGCTACTGTAATACTTTTTACAAAACATCTGGATTCCTCCTACGTCGGTTTTTGCTAAGTCGAAATTGTTCAGTTTCAGTCAAGCTCTGAAGAAGCCAACAGGATGATTGGCGAAACGCAGGAGGAATCCGGAAGTTTTGTAAAAAGAACTACAAAGTTATGATGAATAATCCCTTTTTCTGATTGTTTTAATAACGTGCGACCCTGTAACACGCAATCGTCCCGGGAAATCTGAAGATGAAGCTGATTTTTATTCATTTTCGTATGTTTATAAGGTGAGATTGTTAAAAAAATAAGGAACAGTGTCCTGTGAAGCTTTTTTAGCCTTACATGGCATAACTGCAAAAAGGCTACAAACTATACAAAGGGGATTGAAATCAAAGGGTTCGGCGCCATTAGATATGCGAGGAAAGCACTCTTCCAGACCTAACCAGCATTCTAGAGAAGTAACAGATTGCGAAAACAAAGGTTTATTTACCTGCTGAGCTCAATATTAAGAAAATGTACTCTATGTACAAAGAAAAATAAATTAGTTTCTTATGAAAAATATAGACAAATATTCAACACCAAATTCAATATTGCTTTTGGATACCCACGATGGGCTACCTGTAGTACATGCGAAGAGTTGAAAGTAAAAATTGACGAGATTGAAAAAAAAAATCAAAGTGCAAACACAATGCACTGGAGTTACACACAGAACTGCGAAGCTTGCAAGTTGAAAAAGAAATACAATTAAAAAGAGCAGACACGTTTTATAAATTTAAAAAAGCTGCTAGGTTTGAGGCTCAAAAAGACAAAACCAAGGAAGCTATTGTAATGGATTTTCAAAAAAATCTTCATCTGCCGGATATTATAACTAATGACACATTAAAGTAGACCACTTTCGTTCTACATGTTCAACGTACATGTCCTTTCGACGTCTGAAGCTTTTTCCTATACTTGTACTGAAGTTTCAGGAAAAAAGGGCGCTGATGATGTTTCTTCACTGATATGGGATTACATTTTTAACCATCTGGATTTTGATGTTAAGAAGCACTATTTTGTGATTCATGCTGTCGACAAAATAAAAATTTCACGGTGTTTATAATGTTACGTTATACAACACAATCAAAATGGTTTTTCCAGTTCGTGGAAGTTTCTTTGAAAAATTATTTTTATTCCTGTTTGTGGACATTCGTATCTAGAATGCGACAGAAATATGGGTTTAGTGAAACAGAAGGCGTATGTTGAACTGCTTCAAGAAAGGAATGCAGTTTTAAGGCATTCCCGAACAAAATCAAGCCCTTTTAAAATTCCATTTTTAAGAGGTGAACCAAATTTCTAGCGGCTATCTATATGCTCAAGTGTCCTTTTCCTGCAAGACCGGTCCAAGAATTAACTGTAACACTCTCGTATGATGATACATAGGGAAAGTTATAATGGTCGAGAACTTGAACATGTTGTCATAAAACAGAAAAGACTTTCGCTACCTGAAGTGTTTTTTGCTTCCAACTTTAGTTTTAACTAAAAAGATTCTGATAAATTGGTTAAGGCTTTCGCGGCCCGTTGATAAGCTATTATCTTCATTCGGGTTTAAAGGCCGTCGTCGATTGGAATTACTTCCTAACGTTTCGCTAGCACGAGTGGCGAGCTTCTTCAGAGGTCCTTCCATCTCCGATGTTGGACGTAGACTGGTCTACGTCCAACATCGGACGTAGACCAGGACCTCTGAAGAAGCTCGCCACTCGTGCTAGCGAAACGTTAGGAAGTAATTCCAATCGACGACGGCCTTTAAACCCGAATGAAGATAATAGCTTAAAAAGATTCTGTTCTCAAAATTGGAATCAAAGTTTCTTTTTTATACTTTTTTATTGACAATTTATATATTTTTTGCATATTATGTCAAAAAAATTTTTAGTTCAAGTTGGCAACAATTATATTCCAAAATCCTATTTTTCTTCACACTTAACTCTTTTTTTTACAAAATGCTGCAAAAAAAAAAGAATGCCAAATCCAAACTGTCTTAAGGAACACACTTGTGACCCAGTTCTATATTCCTTCAGGCGATAATGTCCTTGACCCAATTTGATTTTAAAATAGTACTTATCTGTAGGTATTTGTGCAAAACATATCAAGTATTATTCACTTCAAAATTGAAGTGGTTAGTTTTTAGCCGTATCTGTCGTATTTCTCCGATACGATCTCAAAAGCATCACAAAAAATACAATTCAATCGTCCGTCCCTTTCATCCCCTGTTTCCGAGCGCGCATCCCACGCGGTTTGTAGGAATCCTATATAAACAACCCCTCTAGTATCTCGACGTTCAGTGCTGCGTTAATTCAAGCTGAGATTTGAGTGAAACCAAAGTTCAGGTATGTCATGCTTTAAAACTTCTGGTTCATGTGCCTCGTGTATTTCGGATAACTGGATCTAACGAATTAATTCATTCGTTCTCAGCTTTTAAGATGGTTTCGAGGTTACTGCTATTCAGCAGTGTAATTCTAACTTTCCTGGTGTTCGCTGTAGACGAGACGGTGGAAGGAAGGTACCTTCCCACGAGATCCAACGGAGATAAAATTGATAAAATCAGGGAGTTACTGAAAGACGTAAGTAAGTTTTACTACTCTAATATCAACCTAAATTTCGTTTCTTAATGCAAGGGAGCAATAAAATGACTGGGATACTTAAACAATCTGGACAACTTAAAGCTTGTATGATAAACTTCATAAAAATTTGCAATGAGTTTATTATAATTATAGAGAAGACCAGATTATTGAGGTATTAGATCAAGTAAATAGAAAATTTTACAGATGTAAGAATAATATAGAAATAAATGAAGTGTAATAAATATAATTATTTTTAAAAAAATCTACTAGAGTTCAGAGAAATAATGAGCTCCACAGTCATTTCTAGCATATGTTGCGAGATGGTTTTAAAGTCCTTCATTTTCTCTATTAATTGTGATTTTTTATTTTGAGTTTTTCCGTAATAAAAATTCATTTCCTTTAAAGTTTTTCACAATTTATTTTTGCATTCCAGACATCATTTTGTTCTTCTGATGGCATTCTTATTTATTAGAGTTTCTATTCTTCCTGCACTTTTCTTTGGTGATCATATCGGGCCGTATTTATACTCGTACATAAGTACTCAGTGTGTCCAAGGTAAGGAAGGATCTTTAGCATGGGGATGTTAGCACCAGTTGGAGGTGTTGCTTGTGTTCTTCAAAGCATATTTAAATGCCGTTAAGAAACTTTAAAAAATGTTTATTGACTGTTGAGATGTTTGGGAAAACAGGAATTTGACATTATAGATTTTACAAACGGAGCAAGTGTTTGATAAAAGGGTGACTTAAAAAGTTTACCAAACATGTTGCATACTATACTATTTCTAGTACCGTTAGTTTATGTACTATAATAATAGTTGCTGTGAGTGTTCAAGATTCTGCTACACACAACAGGATTGAGAACACGGACCATTCTCATTCTGAGCTCAATTTTAAATCCACATACTACTTTCTTCATACATATGAACCGTGCTCTTGTTTGTTCAATTCTGGATTTTAATTTTAGTGAAGGGTCCCAGTCCTAGCTTAATAATTGTCCCAGATATTTAATCGTCTTTTAAGTTTACTTTGGCCTATCCACAGTTCTGCAGCATGTATATTCGGTTCTTTAGTTGCAGCCATAAGTTTGGTCTTTTTGATGTTAAATTTACGAACGTAAAGGTCTACTACTTGATCTAGGAGTTATTCAAGTTCTTTCATATTACCCGCCAATAGAACAGAATCATATTATTTTTATTCCTTTTTCGATATAAATTGAAAAGCAATGGTGACAGAATGCAAACTTTTCTTACCCCTCTCTTAATTGCTTTCATATTATTTCGTATTTAGTATTCGAATCATTTTTTCGTGTTGCACTCTGTCAAACGCTATTTCGAAGTCAATAAAGCACGTAAATACATCGCAGTTCATATCTCGACACCTTTGAGTCCCCTTGTACCTAGGCCCTTACGGAATCCAAACTGAGTATCTTCAATGTGTTGCTCAATTTTGGGGTAAATTCTTTGATGTATTATTTTTAGAAACAATTTTATGACATGACTCATCAGACTTATGGTGTGGTGGTCATTGTAATTTATATCTGATTTATGGATAATAATAAGAATCGTGATAAACGTGGACTTCAACCAATCAGATATCTGCGTTATCGCATATTAAATTAAATAACTTATCTAATAATGCAACTGCTTTTCCTCTCAATATTTTTAGTAACTCAGTTGCGATTTCATCTGGTTCTGTTGCTCTCTGGTTTTTTGCTATTTCTATTTCTTCTTTGGTAATTGGTTTTCGCTCATCTTATATTCTTGTAAATGCTTTAACATTCTTATGTACGCTAAAGTCATCATGTCTTCTTTCATACTCTTCAATCTCTGCACATTCGTTGGAGAAGTACACCGTTTTCGCATGTATAGTTTTCCTTCTTATTTCTCAATTAAGTTTTTTTAGCCATCCTCTGTTGTCTTCTGTCTTCCATTAGATTCAGAATTTCTTCTCTTGCCCATACTTTTTTCTTGGGTTTCTTATCTGATTTCAATCTACTGCCTATTGTACTTTTTATAGTTTTGGCAAACCATTCCCATTGTTGATCTGAGGTTGGATTGGATTTTACTTCTAATGGCCACGACTGCAATAGGTCACTCGGCCAGCTTACGATGAGTGTAACATATACAAAAATCCTGAAGAATGCCTTCCTCAAAAAAGGGTCTGGACCAATCCATCATCCTCCAGGTTAATTAACATATACAAAAACGGGAACAACTTCTACATATTGTCACAAAATGACGACCGATTCTTCATACGAGTCCCGCAAATATCCTATACGGGATATCCGATCCCATCCGACCTGGTTACCAGGACATCTGGAAACCGTGCTAATATATACATCATGGAATAACACATCACAAATCCGTGTACATCCGCGTAAAACGACCACTATTTCTCGAAATTATAGGCACTACGCATCTATCACTTCAGAAAACAAATGTACAAAACAAAATTTTCTTTAAACGACCCAAATTTCAACCGATTTCTACCATCTATTGAGGTTAGTTTCTATGGCTTCCTTTATCGTATCTACCACTTCTCCCCTGGTCGTCTGATCTTTTAATTCGTTCAGAGCTGGCCTTTTCGTGGTGTCTAATTTATGTATTGCGGTGTAATCAAAGGAACATTTACACGTTTTACTTATACTGTGTCATAGTAAATAAAATGCGAAATAACTAAGCATACACGTAACATTTTTTAAGATATTTTGATTAAGAAAATGTGGATTTGCATAAAGACGCTTCAGTGCGTAGAAAGCTCTGGGTAATAAGTTTATGGAATTCTAGTAGTCAATTTTGCAGATTTTGGAGTCGGAAATGGAGAAAGACGAGCCGGATCCACCAAGATGGCGTCCGGAAAGCAAATTCCTCTACAAGAGAGACGTCAAAATCGATGACGCGCCTGCTCGCAACGTCCTACTGACCAAAACAATATAGAGCAACTGATTCAATACCGACCCTGGCAGAAAATGACGACAGCACCATCTTGACTGTTAATTCTAATAACTAAGTCGACGTACTGCAAAAAATGACAATAAGTAGGTACAATTTTTAACGTAATATATTTTAAATAAGCAATAACGCTGAAGAAAAAAAATTGCGCCTCGGTTACTACCTCGGGTGTCAGGTATTGGGATAGATATGGTGCATTTCGAGCAACGCCATCAGCGAACGGTCATTTTTGCAATTTGTCGGCTGGATTAAAACCACTTTTAAATGGAACTACGTCAATAAATTGCATTAAAATGTTATTAAGCAATATTCAGAGTATTTTAAACATTGTGCAATTTTAAAATAATACGTACATATATATTTGTTAACATAGGACACAGAGTTTTATAATATTGCGTTAAGGTACTGGGAATAAAACTATATTTAAGCAGATTTTGTTTGCATTCGAACGCGTCGTCCAAATTTGAACTCGCAAAAACGGCGGATTTTTCAACACATTTTAACTTGGAATAATTTTCCAGTAATTAAGTAAATTACAACTGATAACTCTTGGTAGTTTTGAGATGATGGGAGTTTAATATTTTTTGAAGCAGTGTGAAAGTAAAGCAAATATTTTAAGAGTTGTCAATTAGATATTTTTTGTATGCAATTAATGCAAAAATTGTTTTTTAATAATATTATTATTTAATAAATTAAATTTTGAGTTAAAGAAAAAGTATTTTTGTAGCTCTTTATTTGTTTTAAAATTCGACTTAGTGGAAATAAGGGTTAAATATTAGAATTTGCTTGTTCCATTGGGTTTTTGAGCTGCAATTTATTTATTTATTTATTTAAAATAAAAACACGTCTATACAGATTTTGCCTAGGTAGGTTCCAATGCAGTAACTAGTTCTTTAAGATTTTTTTTTTACTTTTTGTATAATGCATAATTTTACGTCATTTTTAAAGTGCAATATTTGTTCGAATTTATTATTTTATAAGTTGGCTCTGACCGAAAAAAAACGTCTGTCGAATTATCAATCTTACGAAAAGTTCTGAGTATTTCTGTAAAATCGGATTTTAGTACCGCCAACTAGACAAAAGGCAAGTAGTAAAGGAATAATACACATAACGCACTTGGAGAATTAATTACCTTCAAAAAATTAAAGATAGAGATTAGACAACAGATCCATAATTCACTTTAATGAAACATGGTTCGATATTGACGACACTGAATCCAAAGGATACTCAAAGTTGTCAGACAAAAGAACCTCCAAATAAAGAAAAACATACCACCATAATACATTCTGGGTCAGAAGATGGATTTTCAAATCTTTTAGAAGTACAATAAGTAAAATCAAAAGTCAGAGCAGAAAATGTTATTCCTACCTTAAATCCCGGTGTTATTAATTTGATAAATAACATACAAATTGGGAGCTGGAAAAATTCAGTAAGCACATTATAAACATGACTCTTTCATTTTTATACAAAACAACATAAATCCTATTATAATTAACTTCGGTTTCGACTCGATAGTGAACCAGAATTAGATTAGTACATGTAGAATGTAAATATAAATAATAAATATGTAAATAGCTTATAAATAAACAAAAAAAAAATTACCAAAAACTTTGAGAGTCATAAGATTTTTAACATGGGTTTCCGAAAATTAGTTTATTAACTTTTCGTGTAAACTTTTTTATAATTATTATCTGGTAATAGTAATAGCATATTTTTGTTGTGCAGGGTGGTGTCAACAATGGCGTAAGATCAGTAGTTTCAAGAGTTCAGTTCTTAGTTTCAGATACTGGAATTGTGGTATTTTATATAAAACTTTTAAACCAATGGCTGTTAATTCTAGTATCTTAAACCTTCCTTAAACTGTGGTAGTACTGGTAATATCCATCACATAGCTATAGCTATATAAATTGGTGAAATTGGCACCTTAACGGCAACTATTTTTACGCCCTGGTCTCTTAATAAAAATTAAATTGTTGTGAATGCTTATTTTAGCAAAAAATTCCAGGACTGATTTTAAGTGACATGGTCCCACTTAAAATTAACTCGTAAATTTACATTCAAAACGTTACAGAATGTAATAAGTTAGGGGCGACATCCACCACCTTTGTTTTTATGGAACCCCAACCCATCCCAGATTAGATATTACAACTTTATATACAATATAGAAAAATAATGAAAAACGAAGCTTTTGTAACGAATTTACAAAGAAAATAGAAAGAAAGCACACCAAACAGTACTATCCTTAGGCATTGAAAAATCTCAAGGAACAAAAATACCTGCTATAAAATTTGGAATTATTGGGCTAGATGTCATATCTCTCTCAAATTTTTAATTTTACAAGGATATATTCGCTGTTGGCTTTCGTGACAATATTGTTTGCAATTTTAAACTTTTAGCAAGGAAAAACTGTATCATATTTGATTGTCGGAAAAGTAACTCTGTCGCCCGTATAGTTTTAACAGCAATTAATGATATTACCGCCTTGGAGAGTGAGTTTATTGCAATCTTTGATAGTGTTATAGCTAAATTAGCGTTTAAACAGATCCTTGTGATAAGTAAGTTTCCGAAGTGGATATGTGCAGAAATATGATCACCATAAGACAATCTGAGACAGACATTCTGAAGATGCTTTTGGTTTTGATTAGAAACCATAATAGGGAAAGGTCTAGTTCAAATTTGAACTGCTAAAATCCGACCATTATCAATAACTAAAAATTTTTACCAAATTCGAGCACAAATTGATTTTTGAGTTAAGTATTGAGTTAAGATGTTCGGCTTCTGTTGGGTAGAATATATTATCTAAGTTCTTGCTTAAAAGCAGCGGTAATAGTATATTATGCAACAAGTGCGGTAAACGGCATTTGACTCGTGAGTTTATTTCATACCAGCGGAGCGAGTGTTTAATAAACGAGTGAGTTAAAAAGTTTACCGAACGTGTTGCATTGCAACTTTTTCTACGACCGTTAGTTTTTGCGTACATTTTCGCAAAACACGAATACATTCACTGACATGACTGTCAGAATTGACAAACGTCAAAATTCAAGTCGTGAGGTAATATCTCCGAAAACATCTGGTAAAATCCCGGAAATGTCCGAAGTGACTTGGATCCGTGGGAAACGAAACTGACGTGGTAAAGTGGTGCTTCCCGCAGTCTAGATCGGTGTGTAATTAGGTATTTTACAGACGGGAGCGGAAAAAAGATGTTACCGCCTTGGAGAGGGAGTTTATTGCAAGCTTGGATAGTGTTATAGCTAAAGTAACGTTGAAACAGTTTCTTGTGATGTGTATCAACCGAATGGAATATCCGTGCCACGAATAAGTTTCCGAAGTAAATATGTGGCTCGCAGAAATATGATCAAACATAAGACAATCTGAGCCAGATATTCTGGAGGCACTGAAGGTTGAACTTATCTTTCTGAACTAAGTCATATTAGACAGTATTAGAGAATCGGTCAGTTTTAACTTAATAGCTTTGTTTAACACATCTTACGTGACCTTCGAAGCGTAGATTTCTCTCAAGCACAATACACCTAAATTCATAAAGGTGTTATTTTTCCAATTACCCTACCACCTTAGGTACAAGACCATCTTTATAGGCATCTAGAAAAGTGTCCAATTCAACAAACTTCATCACCTATCGGCAACGTAATTTCTCGGAAATTATCTGCCCGTTCGGACTTCGAGAATGCAGGTAAGATCCCCTTTGTCGACATTTATGACCTCTAATCGTCAGATAATTCCGCGATATTTTACCTCGAACGTTGGTACCTCGAACAGTTCTATTTTACGACGGGCCTGAGAAGTAATAATACAGTCCAAACGTTTCAACCTGTAAAATGTTTGTTAAGGTAAGTCCACCTTTTAACGTACCGAAAGAGTTCTCATTTTTTTCCTCTTAGGTCCTTTTGGTAGTATCGTTGGCGTCGCTACCGGCGGAATCGTCCGCGAAACCTTACAGGACTCTCGCCGAGAAATTCCTGGACGGTTCTCCCAATCACATAGGGAAATTCTTCGGTTTCCAGAACACTTGGACAGGTACGAAATCGTGGACTCCTTTGCACCAAGTCGGTACAGTTTCGGTAGACGCTCCTGCGTTTGTAAATACCCATACACGTAGAGACGCTTCGGATCATGAAACGTCTATCCATAGTGGCGCTGGTGAAAAGGTGCCAGACATCAACCAATTCCTACCGGAAATCACCAGAACCACCACGTTCAACGAAGCCAAACCGCTCCACTTTTATCCCGTGAACGGTTTCACCAATAGTTTGTACCACCCGGATACTAAATTCATCACCTTCGATCCTCTGGAGATCTACGAGATTCCGAAGTACTACGTCCCAGCGCGAGCAGGAGGAGTTGGCGGAGTTGTCGTCAATGGGGAAGCCGGGCGTCAGTTCGTTCCAGGTTTAGGTTTAATACCGGTGGACTCTCTGGATGTGTACAAGTTGCCCAAATTTCAAGACACGTAACTAGCAAAGACGGGCTGATTTTTAATGTTTGCGACCTTTTTTTGCAATGTTTACAATTTTACGTAGTTTTGCAAATAAACGTTGCAAAATCTTACCCGTTTCATTGACTTGATTTTCATTTCAACCTTGAACCTAGCTATTGTTGCATCTGGAAGTGCCTAGATGTTTGATTTTCATTTCGACCTTGAGCCTACTTATTTTTGCATTATTTTCCAAATATACCTGCATATTTCCAAAACCGATCAGCTAGTTTCTAGGGAAATGGAATATTAAAAAGTAATGTTCTTCTAGTGTAAATAAAAATGTCCGAAAATCAGTGCGTAGACGTTTGACTTTCATTTCAATCTTGAGTGTAGTTATTTTTGCATTATTGTCCAAATATGTTTGAATATTTCCAAAAAAGTTGAGTTAATTTCTAGGGAAATGAAATATTAAAAAGTAATGTTCTTCTAGTGTGGATAAAAATGTTGGAAAATTTTCGAAGCAAATACTTACGTTGCAGTGAATAAAAATCAGTGCGTAGATTTTCATTTCAACCTTAGGCCTAGTTATTTTCGCATTATTTTCTAAATATATCTGGATATTTCCAAAAACGATCAGTTAGTTTCTAGGGAAACGGAATATTAAAGCGTAATATTGTTCTAGTGTGAATAAAAATGTTCGAACATTTCCGAAGCAAATACTTTGCAGTGAATAAAAATTATTGCGTAGACGTTTGACTTTCATTTCTACCTTGAGGCTACTTATTTTTGCATTATTTTCCAAATATATTTGGATTTTTCCAAAAACGATCAGCTAGCTTCTAGGGAAATATAATATTAAAAAGTAATGTTGTTCTAGTGTGAATAAAAATGTCGGAACATTTTCGAAGCAAATACTTACTTTGCAGTGAACAATAATCAGTGCGTAGACTTTTGATTTTCATTTTAACGTGAAGCCCAGTTTTTTTTGCATTATTTTCCAAATATATCTGAATATTTCCAAAAACGA